CATTGGTAGTCTTTTTAAGCATAGTTGAAAAATTTCTTAAACCTCAGGGAAGATGTAAGTATGTCGGATGTGTCAGTGTAATTGAAAGCTAGTAAACTTCAGTACAGTATTTAAATACATATATGCATACTCATCGTTCTCAGGCTTGCTTCCTGCTGACAGCAGTAATATTTGCATGTGATTTAACGATTGTTAAGTTTAAATTCGTGACCACCATCTACATTCATATGTACATAAGTACCTAAGTAGAATAAATTGGTCCCCCTATTATAGCGAACAGGAAGATTATTGTTATTGATTTGACATTTCCATGCAAGCTTTAAACAAATCGCTTTTGAAGAAATTACATTTTAAATTTAAAAGTTTAAATGTGCTGGTACGGTATGTACATTAGAGCGGGTCGATTTCTCTAAAAAATCGCATATGTGGCAAATGTTCTACGGATCATTCTGACCATCTTTGCCTAAGAGAATATGGGTCTAAAACCGGTTTCGAGACAGCGATTTTTAAATAAAGTTGATTTTGGGAATCATAAAAATTTCTTCGTCAGTTTAGGATATCCGATTGAAATTTAATACATACATAGGTGCATTTTGAGATCCTATTGATAATTTGCCGGAATCGGCCAGTTTGGACAACTATATCACATATCTCCAATACAACCGATTATTCAGTTATATTTTTTTTCGGCTTCACTTAAAAATCGCTTCCTCGAAACCGGTTTTAGACCCATATTCTCTTAGGCAAAGGAGTTCAGAATGATCCGTACAACATTTCCCGCATATGAGATATTTTAGAAAAAAAATTCACCCGCTCTAATTTGCATACATATGTATATGAGTGAATAATGCGGTTTATGGCACAGATACTTAACGAATGACATTACGAAACTATACTCAAGAGATATTTTTTACTCTTACATAGTTTTCATGATTTTCTTTAAGCTTTTTTTTTTAATGTACAAGCTGAGATTATTGTATGCATTTGTGCATATTTTTTGTAAATTTATTAATAAAAATTATTGCGGCCTTATGAATTCAAAAATATGGATCATTCATATGTATGTACTATATACATATATATATATATATCGCGTTGTATTAGACATAAGTGCTAAATGGCATGTGACAGAAGAAACTAATATTGCAAGATTACTAAAAAATATGGCAACACTTAAACTAACAGCTGCGGAAATTTGGCGCGTATGTCGAATCGGCTTTCCAATATATAGGCTTGGTAATTCTCATTTTTGATATAAAACTGCTTGTTTTTATATACATCAATGCAAATCAAGCCTTTTAGATAAGTATAAAAACTGAATTCGGAATTGTATATTGCAAAAGAAGCGAAATATGCGTTCCGAGCAAAAACAAAATAACTCGGCCAATGTAAAAACACGTAGCAAGTCGGCAATAGAAGCTGATGCATCATTTGGATATCCCGTGCAAGGTATTAAAGGTGTTAATAGCAATAAGAACACTTTCGTTAAAAAACTCAAAAGAATGAAAAGTGAAAAGTGTAATTTTATTAATAAACGGGAAAACTATGGGTCTCGATTGTCCACACCAACACCAACAACAAATTCATTCTCGGATAATGAGGGAAAAAGAAAAGATACATCAACGTGTATTGGTTCAGGCAATAGATTGTCTTCGTCTACGCCACGCAGTGAGTTGTTCATAGTTTATGCAAAAAATTTCTTTTACTATGATAAGATTTCGTTATTGTATTTGTTAAGGAAAACGTAATATGTTGGCCAATTTGTATTCAGACTTGAGTCCTAAGTATATTGGATTTACGACACCTCCATCATCGTCCACAGTTGCCATAACTAGCAGCGATGATGATGGTCTTCAAACTAGAAGTTCTCGTCATCGTAAACTACTTGTGTATGCTGCCAGTCCAGAGATAGGAGAAAGTAGCGATAGTGAAATATTGTCTGATTCGTCCAAACCACTGTTAGGCTGCGTGAGACGAGCGGGAAATCAATCAGTAACGCCGTCCCCGAATAGATTGTCAGTACGCAAAAAATTTGAGAGTCCCATTGATAAATTATTAGCACGGAATGGTTCAGTTGTGTTAAATGATATTAACAAAGAAAAAATAGTAAAAAACTTAGCTGTAAGTCCAAACTTTAAATTAAGTAATGATATAAATGAAAGTGAACTTTCTGAATTTGCAAGTAAAAATGAATCAGTTATTGGTGTTCATTGCGAAAATAATAATAATGCGACTGATTTGGTAAATCTGGCAGGAAAGCAAATAAACAATATCATTAATTGCTTAATTACTGAAAGCAATGAAGAGTATAATGAACAAGAAAGAACACGTATCGCTGATTTAATTAAAAAAGAATCCGCAAATGTAAATAATGCAGAACCTGATAATGCTACCTCTTCCAAAGGTGGAAATAGTGAAATTGACGAAGAAAATTTGGAATCTTCTACAACAGAACTGCATTCTGTGGAAAACTTCATTAATCCAACAGTAACAGTAAAAGTCGAAAATGAGAGCTTTGAAAACACCACGGAATGCAAACTGGAAATTGTTGAAAATCATATAGACGATACAGAGGCAGAGTTACAGTACGATTTAGAGGGTGGAGAGAGTGGCGAGTCCATGATATTAAGCAACGTCGTTGGTCTAAGTGTTAAATCACCTTCGGCAACCAGTTTAGATAGCGCTAAAGGCTCTTCTGTGGTAACGGGAATGGATTGGATGACATTTTCAACTGGAGATATCTTTTGGGGACAAATATACACTTACTGCTATTGGCCCTGTATTGTATGTCCGGATCCCGATGGTAGGACGTTATCATCTGAACGCAATGTGCGTAATGGCGAAGAATATGTATTAGTTCATGTACGCTTCTTTGCTGATAGCGGTCGGAGGAATTGGGTAAAACGTGAAAACCTCATCCCATATACCGATCTAGAAAATTACAAACAGCATATGCGGGAAATACGCAAAAAATATGGCAAGAAGAGCCTAAAATATAAGGTACTTTTACCAAAGCCGAGCAAAGTAATGATCTGGCGTGAAGCAATAAAAGAAGCAAATAAAGTCTCTGAAATCATATATGAGGACAGATTAACAAAATTTTTTGAAATTTACGAGCATAAAAAGTAAGTGAAATTGAAAATACTTAGCAACATTATTTTATTTTTTCTTTTATTGACAGCTAATAATAATTTTTAGTTAATATTACTAATAAAATATACATTCATAAATACACATACTACTAGTATTTTAAATTTTGGTATCTTTTTTAATAATTAATATATTTTAGAGTCTTGCAAAAAATACAAAGAAAACAACGAAAATTGAGCACAGACAACAATAGTAGAACTGATAGTTTAAGTCACGATTCTATGGAAAGTTTGATAGTAAAAAATCCTTTGGCTTCGGGAAAACGCGATCGCTCAGTTTCCCCTTACAGCCCCGCCTATTCACCGTTAAAACCAGTATCGAGAACAAAGCGACGGAAATTAAGTGATGTGTCTACACAGCCGCAGCAAACCTCAACTCAAGAGAACTCAAGTGGAGATAATAACGAGACTATTGAAGGCTCTAATAATAATACGGGTACTGTGCAAGTTAAAGAAAACGAAACTAACACATTCGCTTCGTTTGCTGCATTGCATGAAATGGAAATGGGTAACAGCGAATATAGGAAGTTCTACAACGCAATGAGAGAATTCGTATTGGAAGATAATATAGACGAATCTTTGGAAAGAAGCTTAATGGTTGCATCGCGTAACATTTGGGCATTAAAGCAGATTAATAGACATCAAGTAAATCGGCGATTGCTAGCAGTGAGTAATGAGCATGAGCTGGGCTCTAGTCTCGTTGAAAATGGTAGTGGAGAAGGTGCAGTCAAGCGGCTTTCTAATAGGTTAAAAACTTTGAAATATCGTCATAGTTTACCATCCGAAATGAATAATGTATTGGAGTTTGAATCACAAGAGAAACAACAAGCAGGAGAAGGCGAAGTTCAAGCACTTGATAACAAACCGAAACGTCAATTGAACCGACCTATTGAGGAAGTTATCGATGATATTTTCAACTTAGATAACAAGTATTTATTTCGAGGATTAGCTCGTGATCCTGTTTGTAAGTACTGTCTTCATCCCGGTGGTCTATTGGTCAGATGTGCCAAGGGTTGCCAATATTGGTTGCATGCTGATTGTATTGGAAAAGATCCAACAGCCTTAAAAAATACGCGGAACAGTGGTCGTCGAAAATCAAACATTATTAATGTGAGGCGGAGTTCTTCTAAATTATCCGTTGATATGAAAGCATCTTTTGAAAACGCAAGCGCTCCAATAAATAACGACCAAGAACTTGTTGGCTCCTCATCTTCATTAAATACTTACCATGTTACTGGTGACGGAGAGGTTGATGATCACGTCAGTAAAATAAATCCGGAAGTTATTTGCGATTCCTGCGCTGTAGGAAAACCCCCTGTTTGTGCTGTTTGTAAAGAAGACAATTCATCAGATTCAAACAAGGAAGAATTAATTATATGTAACATGCCTCATTGTTCGAAAGCATTTCATCCTGCATGTTGTAGATATTGGCCACAAGCAAAATTCACTAAATCGAAAAATAAGATTGAATCTTTTCGATGCCCATCTCATGTTTGTCACACTTGTGTTTCAGATGATCCCAAAGGCAAATTTCAACACTTAAGTAACTCAAAACTTACAAAATGTGTGAAATGTCCTGCCAGTTATCATATGGATTCGACTTGCATACCTGCCGGTTCTCAAATACTGACAGCAGCGCATATAATATGCCCTCGCCATAGTATATCTAGTAAATCAGATGGGCACGTGAATGTCAGTTGGTGTTTCATTTGCGTAGGAGGCGGACAGGTAATCTGTTGTGAAACTTGTCCAACGGCTGTTCACGCCAAATGCTTAAATATCCCCCTGGATCCAAGTGAAGGTTATATATGTGAGGAGTGTGAATCTGGTCGTCTGCCATTGTACGGGGAAATGGTATGGGCTAAATTCAATTCGTTCCGATGGTGGCCAGCTATAATACTACCACCAACAGAAATACCACAAAATATCAGACGAAAGGCACACAACCCAAATGATTTTGTTGTTCGTTTCTTTGGAACACATGACCACGGTTGGATCTCTAGGCGACGCGTTTATCTTTATTTGGAGGGTGACAGTTCGGAACCCCCAAAAACAAAATCAAGTAAAATTCTTTTAATTTCATATTAAAAAAAATTATATTGTTGTAACTCGTATTTTAGGTTTGGATCAGAGTTACAATCGCGGCGTTGAGGAAGCGAAACGTATATATGAAATTATAAAATCGAAGAAGATGGCGCAACGTCTTTCCAATGAAAATAAAGAAAAGTTACACCCACAACCATATGTGCGCATTAAAGCTAATCGTGCCGTTCACCCGGTAAAACTGCACATAGATTTGGAAAAGGTCAACAAATGTGAATGCAGAAGTTACGATGAGAATCCATGTGGACCGAATTCAAATTGTTTGAATCGTGTTCTATATCATGAGTGCAATCCAAAGTTGTGTCCAGCGGGCGAACGTTGTCAAAACCAAATGTTCGAGTCAAGATTATCACCACGTCTAGATGTTGTCTATCTGAAAGAGTGTGGTTTCGGGCTGGTGTGTAGAGAACCCATAAATGCGGGAGATTTTGTTATTGAGTACGTTGGTGAAATCATCGATGATAATGAATTTAAGCAACGAATGTCTCAGAAGTCTTTGGATCGTGATGAAAATTTCTATTTTCTGTCAGTAGAGAAGGACTATATTATTGATGCGGGTCCGAAGGGGAATTTGGCACGCTTCATGAATCATTCCTGTGATCCAAATTGTGAGACACAAAAATGGTCAGTGAACGGTCTAAATCGAATAGGACTTTTTGCAATTAAAGACATACCAGCGGTAAGAAAGTTGATATAACCATACATATATCCACATAAACGTTGTATAATTTTGACATTATAGGATACGGAACTCACATTTAATTATCATTGGGATGATTTATTAGGAAATCAGAAAAAATTATGCTTATGTGGAGCAGTGAAATGTGTTGGTGAAATAGGTGGCAAAAACAAGGAGGAAAAAGTTTCTAAAGTAAGTTTTAATGTTTACGAATAATTTTTAGGTTTAATAATTTTTTGATTTTGCTAGGAGAACACCGCAGTCGAAATAAACAAAGCTAAAGCCGGTGCCACACGGAAAAGAAAACCTTTAAAAAGGCTTCAAAATCGTGCCAGAGAAGCAAATGCGAAGAAAGCAAGCAAAAAGCGCTCTAATGCAACAGTGAAGGTTTCAGGAAGGATTGAGAAGCCAGCAGATGACCATGAATGTGAGAACACATCACTCCAGGACGGTGACAGCTCCATCAATACCGCCGCCAATACAACAAATATATTTTGATATTATTATTACATCCATTCACAAATCGTTTCATGCATGTATAGAGATAATTTAACCAAATTCTGTTTATAACGTGAGTCAAAATTTTATTTAAAAAAATTGTTTTTATAATCGAATTATGTAGTTTAAATGTTAGATAGTTTGAAGGCCCATTTATAGATCCAAATAGTAACATTAACCTAAGAAAATATTCCTCCAAGACGCAACATACAGTAGAAGACACTATTTAATATAATTACATAATGTCGTTTTTTTATGAATTGAAGTGCCCACTTTTACCATGATATCCGTCTCCAAAGACAATAGGCATACCAAGAATCTGAAAATATTTATCTTCAATATAAAATTATAATTCTCTAAAAGTCTATATCAAGATAAAATGTGGTCCCTTGACAATAGGAAAATTTCTATAATCTTTGAATTATACCTATATTATATAAATTAAAAATGTGGTAAAAAAATTTATTTTCACTTTTTTTTTTACAGAATCTTAGTCTAAAGTAATTTTATTACAAAAAAAATGAGTTATGTCACAAAGTCTACATTTATGCGTAGTTCCTTTATATATCGGAACTAAAGCTTAACATAATTTCTTCTACTTTTATTATACATGTTAAATGAAGCCTTTTAGAAATGATCCACGTGGCAATGTGGTTCTTTTAACGACAATATCGTTATGATAATTCAAACTATTTCGAATAGTTAAATGATTTTCACTTTAAGCTAAGCTACTCAGTCCGTAAATTCATTGCTTTGTTTTTTTTTTGGATTTAATTTCGTTGAATGAACTGCTTTTTTTAAAATCTTCCAACAACTATGAGAAATTAATGGACGACGGGTTTCTACCATCTCCATTACATTTGGCAATATGTGTTTTTTTTTTTTTGCTTAAAAATGCAGGTAGCCTATTTTAGGTGGAACAATTTTGGCTATTCTTCCAATAATTGTCTTTAAAGATTCTTTGGATGTTTCATAAAGTGTTCCAAGCGTTAACAGACGCAAACCATGATCATTAGAAATTTCTAACACTGACCATTTTTCCAGCAGTTTCAAGCAATTTCGCACAGAGTCTGTGGAGACGCTTTCAGCTGTAAAAGAGAAATATATATTATAGAAATAATGCCGATTATCTGTAAAGCTTTAGAACACTTACCATATGGACAAGCTCCACTGTTCACCTTATTTGATATGTTATTAATAACGAACTTGATGAATTCAGTTTCGAGCATCGAATTTTTATACAAAATACTAAGTGATTGAGCTACCGAGAGATATGTATGACTAACCGGCGCTAAAACTTCACAAATCGCTTTCTGTTCAGTTAGTGTGTCATTTGCCAAAAATATATCTGGCTGCTCATCTTGATTATCGCCATTCGGCACATAGCCAATATATTCAGAGTCATCTGCATCTTCTAAGTATGCCGCAATACTTCGGGCAATTTTACGACTTTCGACGTTGCTATCAGGTTCTTCTCTAACCTAAGAGAACAGAATTAATTACAATTCAAGCAACATTTTACAAAGCCCACCTCTAGTAACTTTATAAGATCGTTAACTATCAGTTCATCCAAATTAATCTCCAAAAGGTTACTTAATATTTGGGTTGGCTTGTGTAAAATAAATTCGTATCGTAGTACATCACAGTTTGCTAAAGCTGCATCAATGAGATTTTTTCTCGAAATTCCTGGCATATTGTCCATTTCTGTATCCTGTAGTGGAAGAAAAAACAATAATGTTGAAAGTATATTTTTTGTTACCAAATGTGAACTTACCGTTTTACTTGACTTTTCGTTTATTGACAACAATTCGTGAAAGGTTATCATTAATACAGATTGCAAAGCGAAATGTGGTGTAAGCATATTTGAATAGTAGGATAACTCAATTGACGCCTCAATACTTTGCACTGGTTGTAAATTAGTCTGTCCGCATTCGTCCTGCGTCCGCGATATCAAACCTAAATTATCAATGAAATTGCTTATTATAAGCGAATGAAGAAGTCAACATTTGGATGATACCTTCGCCTAACAAATCTGCAGAATAATTGACAATATGTAAAGAATCCCCCGCGAATGCCATATCTTTGCGCCCTTTTAACCGATTACGAAGTGAATCTAGTGCCAACGCAATATCAGTGGCTAGTGCACCTTTGCGAAACTGAGTTAACATTAGAAAGGCTAGTGCGTTTGTTGACATTACTGATGTGGCGGCAGCGCAATCGTATACAACTTCTCTTGAAATGCTATCTATAAGTGTGCGATGTTCTTCGCATACCACGTCAGTGCCATATAAAGATGATGTTGACTGGTTGTGCTGTAGTTTTCTGTGAATACACATCAATAATAGTAATAATAAAATTTATTTTAATTTTTAACCTACCTTTCGGATGGCTTGTACACTTTGAATTGGCTATCATCTGTGGCAACTTTGTTATATGATTGGACGAGTTCCTTTATAGAGTATGGTTCGTTGAAGTCGATGCGCATAAGACCGTATTTTGAGTGCAAAGTCTGAAATTTTTTAAATTTGTAGATATTCAATATATACAAGTATTTCTTGAAAGGACACAAACCTTCCAAATTCCTGCCATAGCTTTCCAGAATGACTCCGGTACCTTTTTTTCACCTTTTTGTTCGCGTACAAAATTTCCATCAACAAGACGCTCATAATTAACCGAAACCGGAACTAGTAACGCATCTGGGATGCTACGGTCCATAAAGGCATTTACAATTACTGATAATATACCACCTTTTGGCATACAGGGTTTGCCGGTACGGGTACGTCCGCCCTCTATAAAAAATTCAACATTGTGGGACATTTTTAGCGCATGTTGAATGTATTGCTGAAGAATAGCTCTGTAAAGAATGTCTTTTTTTCCAACTACAGGATCGATTTTTCGCTTAATAAAGAAAGCTCCAAGCCCACGTAGGAGTCCGCCGAATACGGGAATCTGTAAATTGTCACCTGCAGCAACTAATGGACTGCGAATGTCATTATTGGTCAAAATAAAGGTAACCATTATGTAGTCAAGATGGCTCCGATGCAATGGTAGAAATATTAAAGGAATACCAGGTGCGCGTTCCGAAGCCCTTTTCAATGTTTCTATTTGTCTTGTGTGCGTAACTACTCCAGATAAAAAGCATGGTAGAAGCTTATACAATAACCAAGAGGTAAGCATTATCAAATAATGGTTCAGTGTTGAACGCATATTCATTAAAATGTTATTGGCACGTCTTTCTTGATTGGACAAAATGTCTTGGTACTTTTTTGACTCTTCTGTGTCGTTTGCTGTGTCGCCATTTGAATTAAATGTCCTATGCGATTCAATTCTCTGTTCACGTACGATTTGTTCTGCAGCTTGTTTGATAGCACGTTGTATCATCAGATCTTCTTGCGCAGCACCAGATACCTTAGGAGCAAACATTTCAGATAACTTTTTTTTACATATGATAGATATGAAAACTACACCCACCTGTGGATATTCAAAACGTTTTATGCGCAAACATTGTGCTAGAAATGGGAAGTATACACCCCAATCAAACATTGATTGGTATGGTTTTTTACCGGCATGAGGTGTCAACTCCAACATATTGTTCGTGCCTTGTGCATGTGTGAGGGCATTGGCCTGTTTTGTTTCCTAAAAACACAATATTTTGTTGAAATATAATATGACGTAACAAATAACAATTTCTAACATATATGTATTGTTTATATAAAACTAACGCCGGCATATCATCCCACCTCAAACCAACCACGCGCGCGGAATTCATCGTCGGACATGATATACTCAAAACCGCCACAAAAATTGCAGGACTCAAACAACAATAGCTATTATAAGTATTCAATCGTGGACTCTATGTCAATATTTTTTAAGAAATATTCACCAAACAACACAAATAATTTGCACTGCAACTGTAGTTATACTCTAATCCGCTACATGGAGCACCAGCCAACAAAAAATATGCAATGCAAAGACCATTTGGCAAAATTAAGTAATGTTGCCAGATAAGAAACTATAAATAATTAGTTGCAAATTCCACGTAAGGCTCTGTCAGATACATGATGCAAATATTGTAATATTATTTTTTAATGCGATTTTATTGGTTGTTATCTTTTGTTTGTAAATTTAAAATAAGTGATTTTCTATTACATGCATCTGGTAATTCAACATAAAATAGTAGTTGCCAATTATTTATATATTCTGCAACAGCTCAATTAATCTTTAAGCATATGGTTTTTTTTTAATCATGGAATGATGTGAACAAATTATATAATGCGATAATCGCGATTTGTTTATGTTTAACATAATTATAGGTACATTATATGTTTAGGTTGTGTTTGGCTCACACGTCGCTGTTGACAGTCATAACTTTGAAGCCGAAGATAATTTCGTCTATCTTGGAACCAGTATTAACATTAGCAACAATCTAACGCAGAATCACTCTTGCCAACAGGTGCTACTTGGACTGAGTAGGCAATTGAAATGTAAAGTCCTCACTCAACGAACAAAGACCAAACTCTACAAGTCCCTCATCATTAACGTCCTGCTATATGGTGCAAAGGCGTGGATAATGCCAACATCTGATGTTTTCTCAGTCGATGGGACGATGAGCTGTACGAAACATACGGCGACATTGACATAGTTCAGCGAATCAAGAGACAACATCCACGCTGGCTAGGTCATGTTGTCCGGATGGATGAACACACTCCGGCTCCAAAAGTATTCGACTCAGTACCCGCCGGTGAAAGCCATAGGAGAGGAAGATTTCCACTCCGTTGAAGAGATCGGGTGGCGAACGACTTGGCATCTCGAATTGGCGCCAAATAGCGAACAAAAGAAATGACTGGGGCGCTGTTGAAGACCATTAAAGGGGAAGTTTGATTTATTCTAAAAACAATCTTTAGATATATGTAGATGATTATAAATACAAATATCTATAAAGTTATATATGACATTTTCCAGAAGCAATCAATGCCTTCATATACAATCTGTCAGGCACAATCAAAAACGACCTCTATGTTATGGAAAAGTCAAGTACATGATTATATTGCACTGGATCACGCTTTGTCTATGGCTAACTATGAATCTTCTTCCCGCTATCAATTAATCTGGACGTACAAAATATTAAAAAAAAACAACATGAAACATTCAAAAATATATGTTTGTATCAATATAAACGCGTGCAAAAATTAACATGAGTATAATTATCATACGAATGATTTGCCGTTTTTTATATTAATTCAAATTTTTAATTTGACATTACATTTAAAATTCGGTATAAAATAATAAAATATTTTGGGACACAAAATTTGTTAGGGTAACTTTAAATTTGACTACGTAAACATGTATTTTTACTAACGATCGGAAAAAACTAAAAACGGTTCATTTACATATATTCTATTGAACACACGTTCATATATTTGGTATGCTTATGCGACTAGTATTTAATAATATATTTACATATATGCACTATGTAATAATTGGGCATTTATTTAATATAATAATTTATTTAAGAATATATTAAAGGAAAAGTGTGAGGCGATTAGCAATCGTTGTTAATCTGTTCGTAATAAATAAAAGTACATGGCTTACCGGTTGAACATTTCTACGCAGTGTTGTTAACAGTTCATTGCCTATGGTGTTGAACTTTATAATTGATGGCCGATAATTAATATTCAATTTCAAATTAGGAAATAGATTGGCTAAGATTTCCAGGGCTCTGAAAGAAATATATAAAAAAAAAGTATCTTAGTATAAAGTAATTTATTAGGAGAATTCAACCAGCTGATAAAAGCATATAGTTCAACTATACATATACATACTTATATACAATAAATTATATATACATATAAATTACTGGCGAATGATGTGTGTGCATACGTATATATATGTAAATACTTATGTACAAAGAAATACGCATCAAGTTATCAATCAAATTGGGAAACCGTACAAGCACTCATAACAATAACGGTCCTAAGTTCAACTTCGGGAAACGTATTGATTATACTATAAACTAATGGATTGCTCATTAGTTAAACACTTCAGGAGTTACTGCATAATCAATACATTTTAAGATTAACATATGTATATATGTATAAAACAAATGTTAATCGATTTATATCTATAGTAGCAAATAGTTAATATTATAAAAGTTCATATAAAGCAGCTAATAAAAGTTTGATTGTCTTTTTAAGTGTTTTAATAAATTATTAAACTAAAATTATGTTACCAAGAGTAAGCATATAAAACACTAAATAGGCAAATGTAAATATGTATGTAAATTATACCATTGTACAGCTATAAGCACATATTCAGTTATTTTAACCCATCAAGTCTCCATAACCAGTTGCATGGTATATTATTTTCTGTATAGTCTCTGTTTCAAATAATAAGAACGTATTACATGTTATTTTTATTTTATTCGAAAAGAAATATAGGAGTATTGTACTCTTTTTGATATTATTGTAATACATATTTACTGCCGTATATATGAATGTGTGTACATTTATTATATAACTAACATATGTATGGTTAGTATGTACTTCCTATAAAAGCTAGGGATACATTTTTTCGGATCACATTGATTAGAGTTAAAATGTTATTATTAAGTTAAAATATTAGTACATATTGTCTACAGTTTATATTTTTATTTACTTGTATATAAACGAGTATTAAAATAATATTGTATCGAATAAATTACTTCGGAATTAATGACAGGATATTTGAGTACTCTAATAAGCGATATTATAATTGTTGATTGTAATTCTTATTTAAATATCATAATAAACAATTAATTATAATACAATATATAAAAATAATTTATAATACGCATAAAACTATCATTACTATAAAAATAAATTCGTAATTAAATTCGTTAAGTGTAATACTTTTTGTATCTTTTCGAGGGCCTCAAAATAACATTCACTTTTTATTTTTCGTTTACTTTTTTCTTTTTTAAAATGCGAAAACAAATTTTAACTTAATTTGAGTACAAAGGTTATATTTAATAAAATATTTTTATCAGTTGTATATCTTTAACTAGTTCTCGAAGCTGAAACGGATATATTGTCCTATGACTACTTTTAATGTGCGAGTACCGTTACTACATATGTAAGTGGATATTCATGTGCATATTTTAGTGCGCTGCATATACATACATAATTTACTCAAATAAGCAAGGAGAATAAAATGGAGATGATATATAGAAGCAAATTAAAAGCGTAACAAAATTTACAATCGAATTAAATATGTAGCATTTGCATAGCTATAAATACATGTATATTCGGCATTTACTTATACTACGAGTTTACGAATTCATCAACTGCCCCAACTACTAACTGCGCCGGTAGACTAGTAAACAAAAAACGATATTGAACTTGACGTGACACAACGCTCATGTTGACGAATTACCTTGTTTTGGCGTAGATATAATAAACGATGAGAACCACCGATGCCAACTCAACACAACCGATGGTAGATATTTCCACAGCCCCTTGCACAAAGTTTAACACAGAAGCTAACATTTTGGTTTAACTAATTACGTTTCTGTTTTAAGTAGTGCTCGTTAATATTTTTTAATTCTATATAATAATTTATATATGTATGTAAGTAAATGCGAACACATATGCCACAATATTGATGTGTTTAATTACTTCTATTTTTTTTGTTCTTTAATAGCAAAATCACACGATCGCTCTAATTAAACACTTATTTATATATATATAGTATGTATGTATAAACAATAATAAAAGCGATCATATTTAACAATTGAATTTCTTTAGCTACTGCGCCGCTATACTCTCTTTCATTGATAAGGCCAACGGCTGATGATGAGCGGGCGACGTATGATCTCTGACGTACTGTGTTGGTGGCTGCTGGAAAAATATCATACGAGGGATTCACTTGTACTGTCTGTATAAGCATATAAAACGAATGCAACATGCATGTATTAATTGACAACCCGTCAGTTAAACAGACAATCGAATTACGCGTTCACTATTCTTCACATAAATCCATACAAATGTACATATGTATATCATTCGAATTACTTTGATATTATACACTTAATGATGCCGCCATACTATCGATAATATGTGATAAAATTAACTATGCTGCGAGAGCAACTACTGTGTGAATACAAGCGACCAAATGATTTCAACAAACAAGAAGAGTAGCTATTATTTCTGCAACTGTCCACACCGGCGAAATGTTGACGACTGTTATTATGGTGAAACTGTCGCTCGATGTTCAGTATTTCTGTATTTTAATTAAATCTCAATTGGCGCACCGCCGACCTTTTCTCGGGCGAATGGGAGCGTAAGCTTTGCACTCAGTTCTAATCACTAGCGAAGAAGTGGGAGAACTGTAAATCATAAGATAGCATGATAATAAACAATGAGCCTATTGCCCTTAGGTTCGAGCTTCATAAATAGTAAGAGCGGAAATAGTTTTTTAGACAAATGCATACAAAAATAAACATATCTACAAAGAAATACTTAATTGAAAAAATATTCTAGAGTAATTAAATATGTGTGCATGCTACACACCTGAGTATAGGTGTATAATTATTTAATCTCATTAACTTCTCGAATCATATAATTAATTAATAGGGCAACAATTCACATGCCTAAAAATATGCTTCGAAAATAGATAGACGTTTATGAGTTTTAAGACAGAATACGTACCATATAAATCAATTTCAAAACATGAATCGATTCAGTGACTGTATTTCTTTTAAATAATTTATTGTTATTGGTTTCCAACTCGAGTCAAAGTGAGGCTATGATTTTGTTCTTACTAAACTTATTCTTATCACTAGCCAAAAACATATGACGGTCTACGACGACCTGCAACCTTTTTGGTAATGAAAAGATCGTTCCAATTTGATCACTAAAAATATAGTGAATTTTTTTTTTAAATTCCTATTATATATTATCTTAAATAATAACATTAGTCGCGTGTTTTTATAAAGTATTTTATATTATGAATAGAACTCTTGTAACTACTCTTCAATTACAAATTAAGAAAAGCATAACGATCGAACTCCATCCATTTTACTTCTTGGCTGGGGCTGTTTTTTTAGCAGCAGCCTTCTTGGTGGCCACCTTCTTCTTACGTTCGGCCAAAATTTTCTGCAACATTTTTGTGCGGTTAGCTTGCGCTTTGGTGGCCACAGCAGCAAAATGCGATTTCGCTAGTTCCACGTTCCTCTTCTTAGCGATTGCCACAGATTTAGCAATAGTACGTTTCTCAGCAGCTAACGCAGCACGACGTCTTAGTACCTCAGCGTAAGGATTCAATTTGATCAGTTGGCGCACGTTAGACAATGGATTTAGACGGCGGACGCGACGGAACACCTTCTTACGTGGATCACGTAATACTTTACGGATTTCTTCCGATTTCAGTAAACGTGTCAAATCCGTGTTGGCCATTTTAGGTTGGGGCAAATTGTAACCCTTCTTTAAAGATGATGGTGTCTTCCATGATCCAAATAATTCGTTCAAGCGAGCGAATGCCGATTCAGTCCAGATAACGAAACGTCCAACATGACCACCTGGTGCAAGCTTCAACAAATTCATTTTGTCAACGTTCATTGTTTCAATGCCAGGGATGTTGCGGAAAGCACGACGCAGACCTTCATCCTTATAATAAACAATCAAAGGACCACGGCGAGCAATACGGCGACGATCGCGCATTGTACCACGACCAGCACGGAAACGTTGCGACTTGTACACCTATGATTTAAATAAAAACAATTTAAGTAATAATAATATATGGATATGGATATGTAATTAAATATTCTGCATATATTTGAATGTACTTTTCTAATTCCCCAAGTAATAAGTATTGAAACTTTACACTGGAACGCCTATGAAAAGATTTTACTATAGCAGTATTGTTTTCAATTTGATTCCAGCATAAACAAACTATATGCCTTCGCTTGCATATGCACGGAATACTGCCAAAATTAGTCAGAAAGTATGTAACTTACCTTTTGAATGTCAGCCCAAATTTTCGTACGTCTTAGGAACACTACAGCTTGCTTGGTTTTTTGTAGTTTCTGCACATCATCCGACACCACCAATGGGAATTCCGACACACCATCAATAATATGGCCCTTTGATTGAACTAGGGCTGGAACACCTGATGCAGCAATAGCTGACACGAGAGCGTATCGGCGCTGGTTGACATTCACTTTGCGGTGCCAGCGACGGAAGGTCTTGGTTGGAGCAAACATACGTCCACCACGACACATGTTACCGAAGGCACCCTGGCCGGAACGGTGAGTACCACCTCCACGAACACGAGGAATACGAGCGACGGCACGACCAGTACCCCAAGATTCAGCAGACGTTTGGTGACCTAGTAAACAATTTTTATGAATTATTAAATCTTTTCGAAAACTAGCAAACAATTCTTTACACACCTGCTTGCTCGCTAACGGCATAGGGTTGGCGATTGTTGCGACGAACTAGCTGATGCACTTCGTTAACAATATCAGGACGAATGGGGGCTTTGAACACTGCAGGCAAGCAGATGTTCTTATCCTTAAGCTGTTCATTTTTGTCTGAATAGACAGAGACCAAAGGTCTTGCGTTGGCTAAACTCTAAAAGTGAAAAAAAACAAAGAAATACCAAATCAATTCCAATTATTCTGTAACCATTTCATTTCAGATATAAACGGCGTTGTAATGCCACACTAAACACGTGTACGGCATTTCCCGTACTAAGTGTTGGATGTTATTTCCGTGTTTTAAGTGTTTGGAAAAGTTAATCGTTTGCAAATTACACAGCGCACTTTTTTGAAGGGAATCTCACCATTTTCGCTTCTTAATTGTTAAAAAAATCGCGTAAAATCCCGCTGTAATAGCAGAAAACGTCCTCCACCAAATAACAGGGGACAGAAAAAGACAGCACAGCGCAGCATTTGGGCGGAAGCCCAAAATGGCGGATAAATTATGTGTATTCGAACTTGCAGATGACGCTGCTGACTTTGAAATAGTTTGACAGACGAAAAGAGCGTACTGTAGGTGGCGACATCTACCTTCACAGTTTATTTATAGTAATATATATTATGTTTACGAAAACGAAATCAAAATCAAAATACAAAGTTTATAAACTGTAGAAAAATATTATTAACAGGAAAATAATAACTTTTATAACAACTTTATTTTTAACTTATTATTTATTGATTAATATCTACAATACAAATATTTTAAGTCGGAGTAGGATAAAAACCGCGTCAATTCCGATACTGTAGAACAGACATATTTCATATATTTTTATGGTAAAAAAAACGCATTTAAACATACATTCTATAAGAACTAAATAATAGACACGTCACATTCCATTATATTTATCGTTGAAAGTATAAATGCTTTATATTTCAATTTTTATAATTTATTTTAGCGCATTTTGTACAATAGTAATATATTAACAAGCAATGTGTAATCAAAACATACTTACGCATACGTATATAATATATATATATTAGGTATATTTATGGGAATATATATAATTAATTATGATACCGCAATACTTTATATGTATAAGTGATGCAGAAATGTGCATTTGTAATTAATGCACAATTAATTAAATATTGCATACTTGCACAAAGGCGCCCGATTAGCTAAGCCAAGCGGTAAATCAATCGATAAATGGCACATTCGAATGGATTAGATTAATTAAAAATTTTAAGTGAATTTGGCATATGGTAGGCTAGAATAATAGGAAACTGAACTTAATTGTATTGTATTTGCTGTTGTGAACATAGTTCCGCTATTTATTATTCTAAAGAGTAGTCTCAGGCACGATATCTTGTATTTGTAGTTGTGACTCATACGTCTGTGATAGTTCCTCTGAGTTTTTTGATTTTAAGCGTTGAGGCTGCTGAGCTTTAGTATTATTAGTGAAATTGTCAGGACCAATACAATTATCATTGGTAATACATTTTTCTTCACTAAATTTCTTATCCGCGCCAAATGACATTTCCACAATTCTCTGTTCTAATCTGCGTACGCGTGCTTGATATCTGCGTTTGTTTTGCTCCAAAAGTTGCGTTAGGTTTCTTAGAAATATGACAAACAATATTATTAGCTTAAATTTTTTGAATAAATTCAAGAAAATCTTACAAATTTGATTTTTGCAAATCCTGAATATTATTTTGAAGCTGGACGTGTCGTTCATCTGCATTAAGTTGTGAAGCCGTAACGGATGCAATTAACGTTTGTATGCGACTTTTAAGCTCTGATTCGCGTGTTAATGCCTCGACCAATTGTTGTTCTGTAAGTGCGACATGCTCCGACTCGGAATACGATACTCTATTTTCAGCGATCTGTTCACGATGAAAAAGTGCGCTACTTGTATCTGTAGTAATTTGTAGTTGCAATTGCAATTGAAGTTGCAATTGTTGCAAGGCTTCTTCGAGCGAGCTATTGCGTTCGTTGGCAATACGTTTTTCTGCTTCCGTTGACTCGATCTTTGATTTCAATGTGATATTTTCCTCTCGCAAATTCAATAACTCTTGCATCATTACAGCCGTTTCGAGATCAAATTTTGTGTTGCTAACTTTTCCTTTCCCACTTTCGATGGCTAAGCGCGATTTTTCATACAAGTCGCTAAATGGTGACTCCAAATTGACTATTGTATTTTGTACTGTTGATCGACGTCCTTTCAATTTGGAAACGTGATATCGCAAGCGGTTGTCATCATCTATAGTCCATGGTGTGCACACTTTATCCGGAATGCTGAATCTGAAATTTGATGATGTATAATTATTAAGTTCAAATATTTTTTTGTTTTTAATATTGGATTTACGTTGACTGCCAAGGCCCCAAGCTATTCTCACAAATGTTCTTCTCACTTTCTAAGCGGTCTAATAAGTGTCGTGCCACTGTCTCTACAGCTCTTCTGCTCTCTTCGGCACTATGAGATTTTTCTGACATTAATGCTAATCTAAATATTTTATAGTTACAATCGATTTGTTATTCCCATATACATTCACATTATATCGTTCATACTTGCTCTCCAGGAGTGCCAACATAACATCGTAAGCTTCTATTGCACGATCACTGCAATTGACTGCCGTTTGCAGAGCTATCGCATTAGATTCGTATTTGCCACAAAGTAAATACAGGTGTTCGCAGTGTTCCTTACACTCGTCTAGCGTGAGGGAGAGAATTGTGTTCCGCATTTTTAGGTGCTCAACTTTTCGTTGTAGTCGCTGCATTTCTGTGTCCGTTTGAGATATTTCGGAGTAACTATTCGCCATGCCCTGCTCATACTGCTTGGAGTCTAACACCAAATGCTCAACTATATCATCGTCCTGCATCTGAAAATGTAAGAGATATAATTGGTTTATGCGATTCCCTTTAAAAATATCTATTTTAGTATACGAACTTCAGTATTAGGAATGTTTGACTCCAGTTTGGGGGGCATTGGCCTGCTTCCACATTTTAATTTTACACGTTCAGCTATTTTCGCTACAGTTGGTGGGACTTGGGGACTTGATAACAACTCATACGGCTTTAGAGGTGTTACAAAAACTGTAATGCAAGTTTATAACAGCATTTTTTGCTGAGAAATAATGGAATAAATTCTAATAAATACCGGATTGGGTCATCTTTTCGACATCACATTCACTATTTTTGTCTTCACTAACAATCGTTGTGGGAAAATGTTCAGTACTTTGTTTTTGCTCCTGTGGTGAGATTTCGTTATTTGCAATTTCTGACTGTAGTAGGGCAATTTGGGCTTTTAAGTGTAGAATCTCTTCTTGAAGTGCCTTCGTATAAATAAAAAAAAAAGTTTCAATACAAGAAAAGTCTAATTTTATATACTACCTCCACTTGTCCTTTGCTAACCGCCTCATTAATTCGATATTGGTCTGTTAAATCTATGCAATGGACATTATCACCAGTGCTATGACTTTTACAGTTTGACTTTTCTGCTCCACTTTCAACTATATCAGTTTGACATTCAGCATCGGGGTTGGTCAAATTTAACTCGGAATTGTAAACAGACACATCTTCTTGATAACTCAGTTCTGTTGGAAAAATAATAAAAGAAATTTTTCTAATAATTTTTTTCTGGGATCAGTAGAATCATTAGCTTACCACTCTCATCAGGCTCGTTCTCCTCTAATATTACGGCTTCTTGTTTAGCTCTTAATTTCTTACTTAATTCAGCGATGACGCAGTGCATTTCTGTTATGCGACATTCATGTGCTGCACTGACAACTTCTAAACGACGCAGGCACAAATCTTTTTCTCCGTTGCATTCCTCCAATTTATGTTGCAAATCTGCTCGTTGTTGTTCAGATATTTGGAGACGATGCACTAGATCTCGCACTTGAGATTCCAACTGTTGAAGTGATAGATTTTCCACCTAAAATAAGACACACACAGGTACACATATAATTACATATTATCAGAATTGAGTGCAATTTGTACGACTACTTTAAATCTATTTAGTGGTAGCGGCTGTGATATCATCGCATACTCCCATTCGGTTTGGACAATATTTTCATTACAAGACTGTTGTTGTTGACGACGTTGTTGCATTTCGCTGCAGCACATACAGCTAAAACTTCTAGTAATTGGTGGCAAATATTCCATGATCATAATAATATAAAGCGGTTTTTGCCAATAGATTTATTTAAAAAATTTTGTACTGATTTTCAAAAATTGTATATTTAAATTGTTATAAAATATTAAATTGTACGTCATTCAAATTTTAGTTTTCTAAGCACCTTATTTCTTTTATAGTGACCTTGCACTGCTTTTTTTTTAAATCAAATATGCGGCCTATCAGAAGCGCACTTGCGCAGTGATATGTCAATAATAAATGAAAGAAAATAAGGCCACCACTTGACCACCACTGACATTTCTTTGTTCTTATCACCCCAAACAATGCAAAATATTACTCACTAACCTTTCCGATATCCAGTGTGGAACAGGAGCTAATGTTATTATCACTTTCATTGTTGTCGCGTTGAGTGTGATCGGGTGATTCAATTTCCTTGGTAACGACAATATCACCCGCCCTAAGTAAGTTGTTACTAACATATACCACGTCCGTGATATTATTTTCCAAATGAACTTCCTTGGTGCTGCGTGTAGTAAAGCGTCGACCGACAGATTTTGAGTCAGTAGGACCTTTAGCCACGTCCGCACTGCGTTGAATTTTACTAACGCGTGCAAGGTGAACATCGTTAAACATTTTTAATCAAAATGTTTTTTTACTTTCAGCTTTTTGGATCACAACCACTTTTTCTTATGAGTTATTGTCTTTTTATGCGTTATCAAGCAATCCAAATCGCATTAGCACTACCCCTACGCCCAATTGAAAATCCTTTCGTTTTCTTCACATTGTTGAAGCTTCCGAAACAGAAATAATTCATATATTTTAAAACAATCTTAAGCAACTTTATTTGAAGAATCTGAAATATTTATTAATTTATTAATTGAAGATTAGAAGATTTTTAAAATGTAGTAATAGAAACACAAACTAGAAATGCATATAAAAACGAATTATTAATGTATACAAGAAAATAGAAAAACCATAAGCACATAATTGTCAATACCACAAAACGAAATGTCACAAAATTTTAGAGAAACAAAAAATGTTTATGGTGGAACAGACTATAATGTAAGGAAATTTAAACATTTTGGTTATTAGAAAATATAGTTATTTTAATTAAATAATTATTTATACACCCAAATATTTATTTAATATGACACCTTCATACCTACCCACAAATATATCCGCGTCTCAAATATCTTTTGCATATTATAGGGATCTCTATGAACCAATATAATGCGTTAGAACGTATCATGGTCTAGAGTTCATATTAATTTTATTGAAAAGTGTGGCAATTTTGTTCTTTACGCAAAGGGGTTTTGTGTGTGGCAACGCTTTCAATTGCAAGAAAAAGCATTTGTAATTTGACTTGTGATTTTCATGTTGTTTGGTGTGATTTCGTGTTATATTTTATTACAAAAATTTAAAGATGATGAGTCGTAAAAGACGTGCTAGTTCTATTTCTAGTAAGCAAGATGAAGATCCCTTACAAATGGATGATTCAACTCCGGAGCAATCTCCAGTTCTACAAACTTCGGTACGCAAAAAACGCCGGCCAGACCCAAGTGAATTGTGCCAGCAGCTGTACGATTCAATACGAAGCATTAAAAAAGAAGATGGCGCTTCACTGTGCGATACATTTATACGTGCGCCAAAAAGACGCCAGGAGCCCTCTTATTACGACATAGTAACGAATCCTATTGATTTACTGAAAATTCAACAGAAATTAAAGACAGATTCATACGACGATATAGATGATTTAATGCAAGATTTCGAGCTTTTGGTTAAGAATGCTAAAGCATTCTACAAACCGGACACTGTTGAGCATCAGGATGCACAATCTCTTTGGCAGTATATACTGGTAAATAAACATAGAATATTGGATTCAAATGGTATCGTTGAAGATGAGCCTAAAACAAAACGTCTCTGTCGAAATCCGAGACGGTTGACTGGATCCACCAGTAATAATGGTTCTATTGAAGTGGATAACGAACCTACACGCCTCGATGATGATATAAATCCCTACGAAGAACTTTTTGCCGTTGTTATGAACGCTGTGGACACGACCATGAATGATCGACCGCTTCATCGAATGTTTCTTTTATTGCCTTCTAAAAAGATGTATCCAGATTATTACGATGTCATTGAACACCCAATAGATTTAAGATTAATAGCTACTAAAATTCAAATGAATGCATATTCGAACCTTGTGGAAATGGAGCGCGATCTTTTACAAATGACAAAGAATGCTTGTCAATTTAATGAGCCCGGTTCACAAATCTATAAGGATGCGAAAACTCTGAAACGCCTTTTCACGCAAAGACGGATGGAAATTGATAATGGTAAAATCAAACCAGCACGTCGTATAAAAACTTTATCAAGTGGCGCAATTTCTGGTAAGCTTTATCCATTAATGTTTATCGATAAAAATGATTAACTTTTTGTATTACAGTTATGAAGGAAGAAGTTGATAGTTCTGATGATGAAGAAACAAGCAAAAAAGGTGAAGGACCCATGTGGGCACTTTTTGATCATTTGTATAATGCGCCTGGTTCTTCGGAGCATCCTGGGGCAACAGGTCCTCCTTTGGGTACATCATTATGGAAATTGCCGGTACGTCGTTTTCATCCTGAGTACTTTGAACTCATTAAGCGACCGATATCAATGTGTCAAATACATACTAAACTAAAAAAAGGAGATTACGCTAACATCAGCGATCTAACAGCTGATCTCTGCCTCATGTTAGATAATGCAAAAAAAGCCTTTCCACCATCACATCGTACACACAAGGATGCTGTGAAGATGTTAAAAATAATGAATACAAAGTTAGTTGAAGAGTCGTTGGAACCGGAAACTAGCGATATGGATGATGATGGTGATATTGATGGGGATGTAGAGGACACGTTGTTAAGTAATCGTGACACGCCGCGCGAAAAGAAAAAAGGTCGTCCACGTATTAATTCTAATAATACAAGTGCGCCTAATACACCTATAAGTAATTCACCAAAGGCGAGTAGGATTCCAATAAACGCTGTTATAAAGAAAAAAATTTTAAGCATACAAAGGTATTTGGTTGACTTTACTATTGGAAATCGAAAGCCTATTGACTTGTTCATGGAGAAACCACCTAGGAAAATTTATCCCGACTACTATGACATTATACAAAATCCCATTGATATGAATACAATTGAACATAACATACGTTGTGATAAATATGCCACAGTCGAAGATGTAGTGGCAGATTATCGACTTATGTTTTCGAATTGTAGACAATACAATGAAGAGGGATCCACAATATATGAAGATGCGAATAATTTGGAAAGAGCATTGAATGAAAAACTAAGGGAATTCCCTGGTTTGGCAGAAATTAAGAAACCGACACAAAAATTGGGCAAACCCAGTGGCCGCAAAAAGACGGCTGTTGTTGATAAATTATGGCAGTTTTATGAGAACATACGAGAATATCAAGAACCAAAAGGAAAGCGACAATTGTCTTTAATATTCACAAAGCTTCCATCAAAGAATGAATATCCAGATTATTACGACATTATAAAGGAACCAATCGATATGGAGCGTATAGCGCAAAAATTAAAGCAAAATAGTTACGAGAGTGTAGATGAGTTGGCAGCTGACTTTTTATTGATGTTAGAGAATGCTTGCAAGTATAATGAACCCGATTCACAGATATACAAGGATGCTCTTGTATTACAGCAATTGACACTCCAATTAAAACAAAGCTTAAGAAATGAACAATCATCCACACCAGATGTATCACTAGCTGTACAAGAAGTGTTTCTTAGTTTGTTTACACAGCTATACAATCACCAGGATGAGGCAGGAAGATGTTATTCTGACTCTTTAGCTGAGGTTCCAGAATATGATGAAATTGCTGATGCTAACGGTAAAATTAGTAAAATTCGAGGAATCTCACTAGATTTAATAAAACGCCGTTTGGATAAGCTGACATATAAACGGTTAGATGTTTTCCAAGAAGATATTTTTTCATGTCTGGAAAGAGCTCGACGTTTATCCCGAACGGACTCCGACGTATTCCAGGATTCAATTGAACTCCAGATGTTTTTCATTAAAAAGCGTGATGAATTGTGCAAAGATACATTCACTTCACCAGCTCTACTCTATACAGTAGAGAATTTACTTGCGGGGGTAGAGGCATTGCGTCAACAGAAAATTGCACAAGAAGATCAAGACCAAGAAGATAAGGACGATTTGGATACCGCTGCTATGCAAGGCGAAAGTATAACTATCAATCAGAAAGTATTTTCGCCTGGAGACTTCGTGTACTTTCAACTACCAGAGAACAAAATTCCTAGCATTGCATATATTGAGCGCCTTTGGACAACATCGGATAATGTGAAGTGGATGCATGGATCAGTTTTCTTGCGTCCACATGAAACATACCATGTTACAACGCGAAAATTTCTAGAAATGGAGGTATTTAAAAGCAGCGTTTCTCAAACGATTCCAATGGACAAGGTGCTTGGCAAATGTTATATAATGCACATCAAAGATTATATTAAAATGCGTCCGGAAGGTTACGCCGATAAGGATGTATTTGTTTGTGAATCCAGATATAATGGTCGAGCACGTTGTTTTAAAAAATTCAAAATCTGGCCTTTTGTACGTGAAAACGAACCCGTTCGTTTTGTTTCCAGAGATGAACCTTTAGAGCTGAAAAGAGTTATGTCGGTATTTAAAGAACGAATTGAAAAACACAAAGGCGAATTGGAAGAACTTAAATTACAAGAGGCATTAGTGGAAAAGGAGAAACCAAACGTAGTATGCGATGCTCCATCTATAAATGCGGAACCGAACAGTGTTTACTATCAGCAATTTAATACGATTTGCAGTGGTACGGTTAAAACCGGGGATTTCGTATACGTCGCTACCCAAAGTGGAAAGCAGTCGATTGCACAAATTCACCATATATGGGAAAGCGGTAGTAAATCATATTTTAAAGGACCATGGCTTTTGACTCCAAGCGAAATAGTATCGCCTTCAAATAAGCAATTCTATCGCCAAGAACTTCTATTGTCTACCGTTGAGGATATTAGTCCTTTAATCGCCATTGTGGGGCGCTGTGCTGTTTTGGAATATACCGATTACATAAGTAGTCGTCCTACTGAGATTCCAGAGTGTGATGTCTACATTTGTGAATCTGTTTACGACGAATTACGAAAATCGTTACGTAAGCTCAACACACCTGGTGGTTTACGGAAATTTCAACATAATCCTGAAGTAACACAGGATGAGATATTCCATTTTAGAAATCATATAAAGCCTATTAGAGATGTGAAGGGGGTTGAAGTTCAGGAAAACTTAGCTCTGCTTGAAGACTTATTAGATGGTAATCCACCATCGGTCAATTCGGATATGGCGGCAATATCATCGCCAGCCCCTTCCGTATCTTCCACACCGATATCGTCGAAAGTAAAAAATAAAACAACTAAAAAGAGTCTTACTGGCTATATACTCTATTCAAGTGAGGTGCGCAAAGGTGAGTACATTTAACATATTAAACCAACAATTCATGTTGAAAGCACTTCAATTTTTATTTTTAATAGGAATTAGTCAGAGTAATCCAGATGCTTCGTTTGGCGATATTTCACGTATGGTGGGCACGGAATGGAAGAATTTACCAGCTAGTGTCAAACAGAGTTGGGAGGATCGTGCTTCACGCTTAAATGAAGAGTCAGCTGCACGTCGAGAAATAGACGAAAGTTTGAATTGTGCAGGTGGTGCGGCAAGCGGTAGCCCAGGACCTAATGATCAGCAGAATGGTCATATATTTGAATGTTTATGGGATAAATGCGATTATCAATTTGAAGATGCTGTTGACTGCATGGAGCATTGTATACAAGATGGCACCGGCCACATTCAACGTACATCCATGCAAGGCAACGATACTGAATTCACTTGCTTATGGCGCGGATGTATACGCATGAAGAAAAACATGCAGGCGTTTCCATCATTATTGCGTCTGATCAAGCATGTCCGGGAGGTACATTTAAGCAAGGGCGGTAAAATTCTACTTCCAAATGAACGAAGCAAAAATTTTGTGCCGAGAAAAAATCAAAAAACTACACAGGTTGTTCAACTAAATACACAATCGCATCAAGTACAACAAGCAGTTATGTCACCTCGAGGTGGCAATGGCAATGGTGTTGAGAATGGTGCTGTTTCGCAGTATCCAATGCAAGTTTTGGGACCACCTCCAGAACCAATGTTTGTAACGGTGCCACCAAGGCCTCAACGAGTCCTGCATTCCGAAGCATACATTAAATACATTGAGAATTTGCAAAATACTTCAAGTTCTCCACAGAAGCCTACTTGGAAGAATGCAGTGAAGAAGGCAACACCATCCAATATGACCACTAAGCCGGGTACTGCATTGCCCACCAACTGGTTGGGAAGATACGCTGAGGGGAATACTGAAGATGTTGTGACCGCACTGTGTCATTTACGCAATTTCATGATGGACGATGCACTACAAATAAAACGTAGTTGCTACTAGATATATTAACATTATATTATATATTGCTCATTTATATCCTCTTATTTGACTATAAAAACACCATTACCACTCTTGTTCACATATTACAATTGTAATTACATACATATTTGTATGTATGTGGTTAAGAAAATACTGTTCCCAATGACGATTGTGCACAAGTAGATTAGTTTTTTTTAATTACAAATTACTTTGTACTCAGAATTATTTTCAAATTTAACTAATGCTTGTATTTTTATTATATATATATATATATATATATATGTATATATATGTTGAAAAAATAAATTCCGTGTAAACAATATATATGAATATATATGTATATATATATATAGATATACATAGTGTGAAGTGAATATTTTCTTGCATTATGTTAAAAATTGACGTGGTTGTTCCCTATTATACTTTGATATTTATACATTGGTAAATATGTAACTTCTACATACTTTGTACGTCGCCAGTTGGGAACTAGCTTACTACATATTCAAAAATATTAATATATTGTATTGTGTATGAATAAGCGTTTCGCTAAGATGTAATATGCGACAATGAAATATAAAAATACTTATGGTAAAGGAAAATACACTTTTTATTTTTTAAATATGTCGATTTTTAACATGGAAAAAAATTGAACAACGTTTGCTCGAAATTTTGGGTTTCCAATGGAATCATGGTTACGGAATCGTTGAAAATGTTAAATAAGTGTTTTAGGGAGTCTGCTTTATCACAAATACAAGTATTTGAGTGGCACAAAGCATTCAGCGAAGGTCGTGAAGCCATGCCCCTCTGTTAATGAAAGAAACTGTCAATATCGTCATGGGGTCATCAGAGATACAGAAATAGTCCACGAGACGGAACTTTTCTCAGAACGAGACATTGAGTGGTGCGCAGTTTCCTCAAAGTGTATTGTCGGGCCATACTTCTTTGAAGAAAACGGTGTAACAGTAACTGTCAATGGGCATCGTTATTTAAAGATGTTGAGTGAGATTTTTTACCCTGATCTTCGCCCTTTCAATACCGCAACTGCACACATAGCCAAACCGGTTATTGCAGAGCTCCAACCAAAATTTTAAAACAAATAAATGTCAAGAAACTCCACTTCAGACTGTTTTTTATGTATGTACGATACGTGCGCCACCCTGCACATTTACTAAATACTTTCTTAGTTTTTGTTGTAGTCGCAGCCACAAAAATATTGTTCAAATATATAAGATGCATGTAGCTAAGGTGACTGTCTTTAGCCAGATATTAAGGCGCGTCTATTCCTGGTTTATCGAAATCGTTTCCACGACTGTATATCCTTAGACAAATTGTTACCGTTGGTCAATTATGTAGAGGTCAATTTTGGATACATACGAGTTTAGTCTAGTGCAATATCTAGAACGAAAGCTTCGCTTCACGGCCGAAGGGGTAAATGCGAAAGCATTATTCAACTCGGTTTAGGATGTTTACTATTAACATTAGTAGCATTTTATCGCACTGAACATCAATACGCAATAAATTTGAAGAAAGTTCAATTATACATATGTATATATATATTCTATAATAGTTTGACAAAAAAAAATGGACTACCCTATTTGTTGTTTTGTTTAACGTTCAATACACACTATTTAAATTTTGTATTTATGAGCTTGTGTAGAGAACGTATATATTATACCGTATACGGTATATGATATACGTTCTTTGACTTGTGCGTAAGGATGCATATACAATTTATTTACTCTTTTCTAATTATTATCTTTCTGTTTTGATTCCTCAGTTTCTTTGTTGAGTTTTATATACATAGACAATGCTTTTCGTGTTTCTATGACATCATGTTTTATATTGCCGCGCTTATCTAATATGCTTTTTTTATTACCCTCGGTCCACTCAATTCATGTACATAAGTATGAGAGACACAAACATACTCGCGTGCATTGCAATAACAACTTGTTAAAAGAACCGGCTTCTGCTGTTGACTCTCATTTATTTGCCGAGTCCAAAAGTTTATTCATACCTATATAAGTATATATTATTTGTATGTACATCAAACACAATTTAGTATATTTGTATGTAAATGCATGGATGTGCTGTATACCTAGCCATGTGGGTTTATTTGTCATCCGTACTGGACGAGGTGTGCGTTATAGTTCCGAATAGCTACTTTACCGTCTCCGTGCTGCGCTCACTCAATCTCGCTGGTACAAAAGCTTACACAAGCGAAAAATTCGACAATTTGAATTATTTTCTAGTTCTACTAATGTGTTAGACATTCGCTTGTTATTAGTAGTGCCTTGAGTATCGTGTTGAACGGTTTGAAAATAGACGTCCAGATCTAGATTCAGTGCAGTATATAAAGTTATAATTAAATATTATATATTTGGTGGAATATTTCAAAAAATATATTTTTAAAATATATTCACTATTTCTATTTCTTACGTACTCCATAACACCTACATACAAATATAAGTAACGGTGTGGCTACATATACCTGTAGGAATACCTAAATAACATACAGCACGAAAATGTCGGACGCGGCAAATGGTGAGTCAAAGTTCGGTTTCAAGGACAAGGAGAAGGCGGAGGAGACTTTGCAATTGTTAGAAAGCCATGATATGCAGTATCGGAAACTAACAGTAAGAGGCTTACTGGGACGAGCAAAACGTGTCCTTACTAGTGAGTAACAATAACTGTACCAAACTGATAACTAAAAAAAATCTATATACTCGTACATATATACAACAATAGCGCATGTTTTAAAATTTTTTTTTTATATATTTTTTATCAAAAATATTAAATTCGTTAACGCTACAGTGACCAAGGCTGAGGAGAAGATTAAGAATATCAATGCAGCAATAGAAGTCTTCGAGAAGTGGCTGGAGGAGAATGGCGGTGGTGCTGCCAATAAAAATTCCAAAACCGACAAAGAAGACAAAGTCGAAACAGTACCTGGCTTAGGATTTAAGGACAAGGCAGCAGCAGAAGCCACACTGAGGTAATAGAGAGTACCTTAATAAATGTGTAGTGGCTTACTAACTTTTAACCTCAAGTATTGAAGTATTGCGTCAATGAATGACAAACGTACGATGGAATTAATCGTCAGGAAAGACAATATTATTACTATTGATTTTAATCGTTAATATCTAGTTAACGATCAAATAACCTTTGCATACATATACTCGTACATATGTACATATATATATATATATATATATATATATATACAAGTATATATATGCAAATTTTATTTCTTCGATATTCATATTTTGTATATTTCTGCATTTTTGTTTGTTTGATTGTGCTAAATAAATGCAAACAAATTTACTAACATATGTATACGCTATTGACAACGCAGGGTAGCTCTCTTATTGAGATCATCACAATAATTATAAATATAAAGCACCCCTGTAGAAAAATCTACAGCTTCGGTTGGGCCACTTACTAGTGAATTTGAAACGTAGCTTGTCATATAATAATAGGATACATATTTAATTTATTTATTTTAATTAATTTTTATGCAATAACAATAACGGTAAAGCTTGCGAAAACATATGAAGTTGACATAATGTTTTTAGTTAATAAGAAAATACTACAATAAAAAGTTGAATTTTACCTTAGTTTATAAGTTATTGATTGCGAAAATTAGCCATTAAACGCAATTTTTAATATTTTATTTTCGGCTCAAATACTACCTGTCAACCTTGTGATGGTTTGTGGTTTTTAAACGGTGGGTTTTTTGGTGTTAAAATGATGCTGTAAAATATTTGTAGTTAGATAAATTATTATTAAATAATATACACTATTTTATTAACAGCTAAATTTTTCGGTGAAAGCGGTTTCGTAAAATCACAGTGCATTTTATAACTCTCCTAAAAATTCTTTGAAATTTTTATTGAATTTTTTATTGTGCAAATACTTAAGGTGGCGTCCATAAATTACAGAGGCATTTTCAGGCTTTTTTGACTCCCCGTTTCCCTGGTGAGATTTCGTAAGATTTCCCTTAACTCCCTCCCCCTTTTCCAAATCTCACGTGAGATTTTTTAAAATTAATTGACGCTCGCTGCTAGCTTATAGAAAGATTCTGTTAGAATTTTCAAGTGCTTTTTGCATTTCGCTTTTTTCGGTAATAGAAACGTTTTCTTACACGCACCATGTGAATTTTTGTTCCATTTGTTGAATTTAAATTACACATTAAATCTTAACCACTTTCTTAATAAATACAAAATTAAAGCAAAATATGAACTTCTATGCTTAGTATACTTGTACTGATTTTCTCTGCTGGGTTACGCAACGTATGTATGTGTTACACGAAAAGGTGTAAGCTTAAAGCTTCGTAGTAAATGTAACAATAAAACAAAAATGAATATATTTTTAGATACATAAATATTATACATACGTGCTTACACATTCAACAATACGAGTTATATTACAGGGTTGAAAGCAATGAAGAATAATGGAGCTCGTACGATGGATGATTATGCTTAAGAGTTAAATACACATACGTAATACATACCTATGTACATACATGCAGAAGCATAAAGATCTATAAATTACTATGGTCGCTAAATTCTGTAAAGATAGAGAGATAGTATGTAGATGTGTTAGAAGAAGAGCTAAATACCAGTGCATATTTTTTTAAATGATATATTTTCTTGTTGCTAATGCCATACAACGATGTCATATTTGCTATTTACTGCATATTCAATTGGTTTTCAAATTTTTGCAAACAGTTTGGTTAACGAAACTCCAACAATATGTTCTGTTCAATTGTATTGATTACTAATAAAAAAATATTACGTACACGTCGCGTTGTACACTAACTACGAACTGAATTCAATCGACACCTGTGTAAATGTTTGTAAATTGCGTTAAAACGCGAATATGACAGTTTTTATCATGCATAAGCGTTATATTAAGTGATAGCTGTATTGATTTAATAAAATTTAAATGTTTTTACTTTATCTGAGTGTGTACAAATCCCCCTCGAACCGAAAAGTAATTGCATTACCCACAGTTCCGATGAAATGACAGATCTGAAATCTTCTGAAAACGTGAAATCTTCACGTGATTAAGCGAATTTGTGTATACAACAATTTTGTATTCTTTTTTAAGTCGCTCGTAATTATAAATTCACTCTCCTGCCTCCAATATCTATACTCGTATACATACGATATACTATGTGTCTCAACATGTACAATAATTCACTCATCCATTCAGTACAATTAATGACTCAAGCCTCAAATTTTACTATATTTTCACTATAGACTAAATATACTACATACTTATATGTACATGAGTTTATATGTATGCACTTGCCCAAGCATTTACATATGTAGATATCAATATACCTATGTATGCGAATTAACGGTTTAAATCTTTCCGTATTTTCGCTATTTTTTGTTTGTCTTGAAGGTCGCCTGTGTGTGATGTCATAGCCCACGTTTAGTAATTGCCATGAGTCGCCATAAGGGCCGACGCTATGTGAGAAGCTAAGAGAATATATTTAAATATAAATCAATTTGCAGAATAATTAATAATAATATATATGAGTGTGATCGGAAAGCTTAAAATATGAATGGACTTGTTTAGCATAAGTTAACAACAAAATACGAGTATGCATGTTGTTGTACGTTGGAATTTTTTACAGTTTAATAAGCACGCATTTTTACACATTTTTTCTAAGCACCATTAATCATAAATTATTGTTGTATTTAGTTTTAATAAACGATTAAGTGCGAAATTGAATGTGAGAGTGTGATCCAGATAACCATAAGAATTTCGTACATACATATACATATAAAATGTGGTCTTGGAAATCAGTATTTATTATTGAACAATTTCAGTTGCTTGCATTCGCACTATGTTAAAGACATCATGCGTAGTTATTTCAATTAAGTGATCTCATTAACCTTCAGATATGATTTTCCCTCGAGATGGCAGCGGTATATACATATGTATGAGTACCGATGTCATTTTAACCTTAACGCGAAAGATGGGAATCATTATATTCGACACATGGAGGTTATGAGATTGTAAAGACGAATTTCTGGTATTATTTATACCATCATAATATAATCGAGTTGTAAGAACTTACATACTTTTATGTACTTTCGTATAATTTCGTTTTGTGGGCGTCCCAATAGTGCGATTGCATCTATTTACCATACTAACCTAGCAAGTGTGTTTTAACTTACTCAAAGTCGTTGTCACGGACAAAGATGTGGAATTCATCCTAACCTATTATATTTGATATATGTTACATACTTATTATTATTATTATTTTAATGGTTTTCAAAAAACGATAAGTAAACAAAACGAACTTCCTCCGCAACATATTGCGAGGGTATAAAAGTTATGAACTTTATCGTTAAGCAAATCAAATACTTTCTACACATGAATAATAGTTACTTTTTTCTTAATTTTTAGGATACTTCAAGATCGTGATCCAGATTATCAGAAATTGGCAATTAAAGGCTTAATTGGCAGCTCTAAGCGTGTACTTTCCGGCACCAAAAATGAAGATAAAATCAAGTCTATTCAAGAAGGTGTCGAGATATTAGAAGATTTCTTAGAAAAGTTTGAAACAGAAAATTTGATCAAAAATAATCGAGCCTATCTCGCATATGCAGTTATTGAACAGTTACCCGAAGCAAAAGATGAGCTAGCAGCAGAATTTGTCAAAGCCTACGGCGGACCCAAAGCCAAGGGCAATTACAAGCATTTACGCACAATGTATCCCGAAGGTGATGACTCGACGTCATGGGATATTATACGCAATCGGAATATTGCGAAGTTATTGGAAAAACTTAAGGCTGAGGAAGCGAAATTATTTGATGCTGAAAGTGGTGAGCCGACAGAAATTCATCTCGAACTGATACATTGGGCTTACAGTCCACAGCCAGACAAAGTGAAGGCGTATTTGGAGAAGAGTTCAAAGAAAAAGGCTGAGAAACGTAAAATCGAACGAAATGACAGCTCTAGCTCTGATCAAGATGATAGTGAGGACCAAGAGGACGATAGCGAAAACAATGGGGAAACACCAGAAAAGAAGAAGAAGACGGAATAATGTACATCGATTTTGTAATCTATAAAATCAATGTTGAAAGCAAAACACATGAACTTAGTATACATAAAAGTACATATATAAGTATGTATATATAGACGATCATATCAATATTTGCTAAGTATATATATGCTTACATATGTATACGAGTATGTACTAGATGTTAATCACAAATATACAAAGTTACTGTACTTACTCTTTTAAAGTGTTGACATATACGTATGTATTTTACATATCTCAAAGTATTTCGGATGAAAAGGTTGACCAAATAAAGTTTAACTATCGTATTCGGGTTTGATCCCGCAAATACTCTTTTTATTCATTGCTAGTCATAATCATCCCACACAATCTCCTAAAATACATACACATATACAAAGTACATATTCTTTTTATATTATTGTTGTTTGAATTTTTATATTTTTTAGTATTTATGAATTGGACTGCTATAGAAAATACTATCACTATTGGTTCTAACACTAGCGGCGCTCAGCTGTGTCACAAGGTTCCTTTCCCTTTCGCCATGACTGTGTTCCATTGTGTGATCCACATTGATCGATAAGTCATTCCTGCCCAATAAATTGCCGTTGCCAATTTGTTCCGTCATATTTTTTGAAGCCGTTAATGTTACAGCTGCTGCTGCGGCCGCCGCTGCTGCCGCTGTAGATAGGATATGTGTGTGGTGTTCACTTTTCGTTGAGGGCGGTGTGCCGTTAGTCGCGCTCGCCAAATGTCCGTAAGCCATATTAAAAAGAGCTTCTGGATCGCATACAAATCGATAGACATAACGTTCGCCATTTACCTTCTGCATAATGCCTTTCTCATAGTAGTAGCGCAGACTGCGCGACAGTTTGTCGTAATTCATGGCGGGCCGATTCTTTTGTAAGCCCCAACGACGCGCCACCTCTTCCGGTTCAATTAGTTTAAACTCCATGCCGCGTCCGGTCCAGGCAATACAGCTTGAGCTATTCGTTTAATAAGGCAATGTTGAACATCAAATAACTACACCAATTTTTGAGCATGAAATACTTACCTCGTGGTGGGCTCATCTAGTAAAGCCACCAGAAATTGCCATAATTGCAATGAGCCGCGTCGCTGTGACACTGTTTGGCTCGTCGAAATGGAATTATTGTAAAGTCCATCGTATTTAATGTCTCCATCAGTTGATGAGACAGTTGTCGAGTCTACTGTGACTGGTCGTAGCGCGTAGGTTGATGATATAGTCGAATTGTAGGGACTCTCGTATTTGAGATCGACATCCGTTGAACTCGTTGATGGTAAAGTTAACGATGCTGTTGGCGATAGGGAACCGTTACTACGTAGTCCATATGAGCTACCGTTTGTTGTACTGTAGGGGTGTTGATGATACATGGTTGCCGCACTGGTGGATAGGATGGATCCATGGCCGAATTTGAAAGCCGATGCGTGTGTGGATAAGTGGCCAGTATGTGGTTGATGCAACATGCTAGAGTGTACATGTGGGTGACTGGATGTGTGGGTGTGTGCATGTGTCGGTAGTGAATGTTGTGCAGCGGGATGCGCATGTGGGTGCGGCTGTATATGCATATGAGACGGATGATGTGACAGCTGCTGATGAGATTGACCACTCAGATGTGTGGTAGTTGAGTCGGGATGCTCCTCCTTAGTGCTGTGGTAGTGGTGACTCATTGGAATCATGTTCGTTGTTGCAGCTGTAGTTGGATTGCTACAAAATGCCAGTGTTGGTTCTGTTCAAAATAATATTTTGTAATTTTCGATAATTCTTTATATGTATATATTGTATGTATTTATTTATGAAACTTGAAAGTAAACATCAAAAACTACAATATAAACTTTAAAAATTCCTTATAATAGTTAGCTTTAGGGAAAATACGGTATGATTATATACCAGAAATTTGATGAGAAATTATCGACGACCCAAACCAAAGAATAGTTGACTAAAATTTTTGTATATACTATCTGATCAAATTTGACCTGGACTGCAAAAAATTTTTCTCGTAATTTCATCCAAATCGTTATTATCACCTTCAAAATAGGCTTTTGAGCTAATACAAGCATGCGAAAGCTTAATCCAATTATCCATACACTTGTTGTTAGCCTAAGATAGAATGACCTTCAGTGTCTTCAGCGAATTTTGGTTTTTCGGTTTCGGCTCATTTTTGGAATGCCATTCGCTAGACTGTTGGGCAGTTTTGACGTCATTATCATAATCTCTCGTCACCAGTAGAGATGCGTTTGATGAATGTAGGGTTCTCAGCTACTTTAGCAAGCATCTTTATTTCGACCACTACTCGACGTCGATTTTGTTGAAGCTTTAGGTCTTTTAGTTCGAGTCTAGCATTGTCAAGCGTCATGCACAGAACCATAAGAGATGTTAAGATCCACACAACGATTTTCAAGAGCTGTTTCGAGGTTATCGTCTTTAACAGAGGTGGGTGAACCACTCCCTTGAGACAAGTTTTCAATGACCTTCACTGAATGTTGTGTCAACGATTAGGTGACCGTGATTCCATTGGAAACTCCAAATTTCAAGCAAACTCTCTATTTAATTCTTTTTTATACTCTCGCAACATGTTGCTACAGAGTATAATAGTTTTGTTCACCTAACGGTTATTTGTATCACCTATTACTAATCGAGTTAGATATAGGGTTATGTATATATTAATGATCAGGATGAAGAGACGAGTTGAAATCCGGGTTTCTGTCTGTCCGTCTGTGCAAGCTGTAACTTGAGTAAAAATTTAGATATCTTTATGAAACTTATTACACATGTTTCTTGGTACCGTAAGACGATTTGTATTACAGATGTCCGTAATCGGACCACTGCCACGCCCACGAAACGCCATTAGTAGAAAAAATAAATTGCCATAACTAAGCTCCACAATAATATACAAGACTGTTATTTGGTATACAGGATCACATTAAGTAGGGGCATCTGCAGTTAAAATTTTTTTTTAAAAAGTGGGTGTGACCCCACCCCCCAAAAAGGTTTAATGTGTATATCTCCTAAGTCGCTGAAGCTATTATATAATATAATAACAAAATTCACTGCGAACAAATGTTTTAGCACCTTTATTGACAGTGTGAAGATGGGTGAAATCGGGAGCAACTCCGCCCACTCCCCATATAACGGTACTGTTAAAAACTACTAAAAGCGCGATAAATCAAGTACTAAACACGCCAGAGACATTAAATTTTATCTCGGGGATAGTATGAGATGACTTTATAGGAACCGCGTTCAAAATTAGATAGTAGGCGTGGCACCGCCCAATTTTAGGTGAAAACTCATATCTTGGGATCTACTTAACCGATTTCAAACAAATTCGGTACATTACATTCTTCTCATATTTCTATGTTATAGCCTATTTCCCATATAACACCATTTTAATTTCCATCTGATTCTTTCACTTTTCACTATGCTAATCAGGCAACAATGATTGTATTGGGGTAAAACTTTGCGTGAATAATGGGTTTATAGTATGCCACCTTGTGACCAAAAATTGTCTAAATCGAACCAAAACTGTTCAAGCCCCTAGGTACTGAATATATGGACCCCAGTGCCTATAGTTGACTTTTTACCAAAAATATCGGTCAATGTGTAAGATATATAATTGAAATTCGGAGAGAGTCCTATTCTGATAATAGTTTGTCTGTGTGTCAAAAAAAGGTTGAATCTGGTCAATACTTCCCTTAGCTTTCATATACCTAATATCTTCGAACTTCCCGCTGACTTTATACCGCATATATCGGTCAATATGTGAGTTATTTTGATTAAATTTAGTGAGCGTGTATATATAACGGTGTATCTTTGTGCCTAAAATGATCAGGTGAAAACTTGACCTAGCCCCCATATAATTAAAATCAGTATTTTCAAACATCCGGCTGTCTTTAATCCCTATATATTGGTATGTAAGGTACCTCAATGAAACTCAGAGAGCATCTTTTTATCTTAATAATATGTAGTAATACTGCTTGCAATATACCCTATATAGTGTTTTCCGATTTCCCGCCAGACTTTAAACTAAAAAATTAAGTAGACAAGCTTTTTTAAAACTTACAAATATTAATGGAATTGGTCTAGATATTGGTTCAAATCTCCCTAATATAATCAGATCGATATTCTGTCAACGTGACATTGTTCATCAGCATTAAATTTAGCTCCTACGGGTTTTTGTACATTTTTTAAAATAAAGTTTTGCTTACACCCGAAGGTATTTCCCAGCTTTTATCCCTGCAAGTTTCGAGAGTATACAATGATCGGTTACACCCGAACTTGGCTCTTCCTTACTTATTTTAACCAAAATAGTGGAAGTAGCGTAAATTTCAGACCAATAACTTGTAAACGATAGATGAAGTATCAGGAACTTATCGAAGTAGTAGTACTTGAATACAAGGATAGAGATTTGTTTGTGGTGCAATCTCTCAGGCCAAAAACATTTCTTCCAGGTAGTCTAAGGAAATACATCTAAGCTTATTAGCTTGCTACACTACCCCAACATCTTAAACCAACCTTTTATGACTATATTGCTCAGTTTATTTTACAATATGTACTGCAGCGGCCATATTTTGTTCAAAATTTTATAATAAAATTGATATCTACTGCAGTTATAATTCAACTCCCTTGGCAATCCAACAGGTATTTCGAGCAGGCTGTATGTAAAATACCTGTCAGCAGTAATTATTCACATGACTTCATATAAGTTTGCAAACTTGTTTTTATTTTCCTTAATTGTTTTCCAACATTTAACCGCTATCTCCACTCGGTTCATTCCTCATTTAATGTACTCTTAAATGTTCAATATGTTATAAATTTACACCGAATACACATAGCTTGGCCATAATGCAACAGCTAATCATAGCAACAATTTACACTACGAAATGACGTACAGATGGATGTCTATTAAAAATTCAAAGGATCCGTGGCTCGCCGTGCATAATCCATCAGCTTCGTAACTTTGCATGGCAAAACAAAAATCTTTTTCACAAGAACAAAAACAGTAAATGAATGCGAGTCAATAGAAAACATTAAAACTGTTGGAATGGAAGAACAGTATCATGAGTCCCTTGGGGTAGGGAAGCACTCATGCTCGCAGCTTACTATGCGTCTACAGAAAGAGGGTTGACGAAGGCTGGTATTAAAAAAGCGAGCGCTTATTGTTGATGTTAAAGGTGATGAGGCATTTTATGGTTTGGTACATTATTGGTCGAAAATAGCAATATTCCATTTAAGGCACATTTAATTAGCAAACAAAGTTTTCAGATATCATATATTACAAACATAGGTAGAGGTTAAATATTTTGTTGTAGTTGTTGGCAATAATTAAACAAGAATATTTAGCACGCTGCCTGATGATGCGTTAAAAAATATTGAAATAATATGCCTTCAAAGAAATATTTATATTCTAGCGAGTGTATTGACATTCCGATATACCGAGCATATCGGTTATCAATTGGATTAGCATCATACATACATACATACTCGCATATAGTCAATTTAAATATTTTCATTTGTGGTTGCACTTGAAAATCGTGCCGCGTATTTTTTATTAGATACAAATTAAATAAAAACAAATCGAATTATAATCACACGCTCTACAACAACAGCAACTGCCGTCAAAGCATAAAGCCACTACGACAGGTGGCTGATACGCGTGTTTGTGTGTGTTGCGCTGCATGCTGATGCTTGATGGCTTCACAATACGCACAAAATTTAAATAAATGAAACTCTCAGTTATATGCCACCTGCGTAGCTGTCTACTGATGACTTACTTTTGTTACATTTATAAATGTTCTTTCGTTCAACTTTTTATATATTCTACGCGTAATATTGGTAAGCAATATTTTTGCGGTATGGCTAAGGAGATATTTATGTAAATTCGATTTGTTTGCTCTTACCTTGGTCGTTCTTTTTAAGAATCCCCGCGGGTGGTGATGATGGGAATCTTGAAGGGTGGCAGCATTTTGAAGAAAATACGATACAATAACAACATGTACAGATTATTTACAAATGTTGTGAAAAATTGTACAACAATAAAGCAAGTCGATTGGCGAAAGAAAGTAAAAATGTCAAAAAGTGTAGTTTAGCGCGATTTTCCCTGTTAGCTTCAAATAATGATTAAAATAACTTGTTGGTTCCACTACTCGCTGTGCGTAGTCACTTTGATCTTAATCACTAATGGTATCTACATACATGTGTATGTTGTCATCAGAAAGTGTGGCACATAACGTAAATAAGTATTAAAGCATTTTCACCAAATTTCAACTTACGAATAGTAGAGTTTCGCCAAGTATATATGTATATATACAGACATATGTTCATAGTATGTATATTGTTTATCAATTTCACTTGTACTTCATTTGTGGTGATTTCGTGACTTCACTCACACCATTGCAGTTGATTGCCCTTGCTTACCTGTAACAATAAGGATGTGTCACAGCGGGAATATCGAAAAAAGCCGTTGAGGATGTTCTTTCATGACGTGCTCCTTTAGCGCTTGCTGCAATAGACATTAAATATCAGAAATTAAAAGAAAAATAATAAATACTTCCACGAAAGAGTATTTCAAGATGTGTGTATGTATTTTCTCGGTTACATTTTTATTCGTTATTGAAAGAGCTGCCTTCAAGTTATTATAGTAACATATATAACAATTTTTTACTATATTAATATACATATTTATATACTCACACATATTATAAATAAATAATACGTTTTTTTTTGAGAAATACACATTCAACAATAAAAAATACTTTTGTGCAACAAAATTGATTAAGATTAACACTCCACAGGGAACATTGCTGTTCAATACAATGTTTATATTCTGGTGCATGCTAAGACTGCCAGAACGGTGACACCTTTTTTGTTAAAATGTTGTGCCTTTAAGGAACTCGGGCATCATTTGCTTTAAAAAGAGGTTTTATTGTGAAAAAATCAGTATTATTAAAAAATGTTGTGAAATAAATATTTGAAATCTCTAATTTGGAAATTCATCATGTCACCTTTATACACCCTAATATGGTAATTGTCCAAGATTATTACGCAAATTCAGGATTTTCAATAAATTATCGCGTTTGGTGCGGATATGGCGTCATCATCGAGCCTTAATTCTTTCGAAATAAGGCACAAAATGCCGTTACCATCAATAGCGAGCGTTATAACACGACGTTGACCGACTTTTTCCCCGAAATTCTATGAAATAGACGCGGACGCGTTCTATTTCCAACAAGACGGTGCGCGGCCTTATGTTAACGTCTAAACATGGACACATTGCGTGTAAAGTTTGGCGATTTGCTAATTTCAATAAATTGCCCAGTCAATGGCTGCCAAGTTTATACGATTTAACACCTCTAGAGTATTTTTTCTGTAGTATGTTAAATAATATGTTTACGCCAATTAACCAGCCACGCTTAAGGAGTTCGAAGACAACATTCAGCGCACTATAGCCGAAATTCCCGCCGGAATGCTGCACCGGGTCATTAAAAATTGGCGTAAACGCGTAAAGTGGTGCAAACGGAGCCGAGGTGGCCATTTCGCCGACGTTTGGTTCAAATAATAAATGGCATAAAATTATCTGTATAACAAAAAAAATATATATATGTATACATAATCAATTTTGACCAAATTAAATTTTTTAACTTGTATATTAACATCACGTCATTCTTGTTGGTAGACTATATATTTCCATACTCTCAATATGTGTGACGATTTTAGTATTTTGAAGTGGTTTTTAGAAAACTCAATGCTTTTTCAATATCGTTAGTTATGTGATGTACATATAAGTAACATCTAACTGTACATGTATTGAATTCAATTGCTGACAGTACAGGTCCGAATTGTAAGTTTAACCATAGTGGAGTAGCTCATAGAAGATTATTCGCTGTCAGCTCCCCAAACACATAGCATAACCTTCCTTACTATCAATCCATTTTGGGCGATCGTTTGCTCCGGCTCACCGCAACCATCCGCTTCAGAAATGGATCGATTTTGTTGCGATTGGCAGATGGAAATTTGGTCTATGAGGTTTTTTTGCGTTAACTCGTGTATCATTAATGCATCGAACTTTTTTTTGTAATCAACCTTTGTGATTCCAAGCGGTTTTTGTGCAAGTTTAGCTCCTAGACAACCGAAACAGTGCTTACATGACGATTAGACCCGACGATTTCTATTATTTTTATCGATATTTTCGGCATTTACATTTCCAGAGCGTAGTGCATCTTTGACATCAAAATTACCGGAGCGGATCGATGAAACCCATATTGGCTGTTACAGTAACAAGACCATAAACACTATTCACAGTTTCAGCTGCCTGGCTTGAAGCTTTCGCCTTTAGCGAAGTAAAAAGGTAAAATATGGTGTATTTTCCGTTTTAGAACGAAGTCTTGATTTTCTAGCAACATATACTTATTGCACTTCTACAACGAAAGTAGATTGTTTATAATATTCCTTATATAATTATTTGCCCCTGTATCTTCTACTGCATCTATGTAAATATTTAAACAATTCTGCAATTTATTGATATCATGCTTTTATATAAGCTTTTCATTATAAATATATATATACAATTACACACACCCACACTAAATACTTAGTTTGTTTTTGATTTTATTAAATTTTAAAAGCATCACCATCACACACCTTCAGGCAACAATAGCAAAGTGATAAGAAAAATTTGAAGGGTGGAAAAATATTTATTTAACAAACAAACCAGCACAAGATTATAAAACTTATGCACACAGCAACAACAAACAAATGCAGCAAAAGTTAAGTAAAAGAAAAATTTTGTACATAAAACACAATAAAAAACATATTTACCAATAAAACAACGGTCTACTAATATGATTTTTTAATAAAGTGGCATCAAAGTCTACAATGAGTGTGCAATGTGTGGGAAAATTATCCTTCTTTGTATTGTATTGTATATATGGTATGTATGTCTGTATGTATATGTGATTTGGTCTGCTTGTGCTTATATATGTATTTGTGTCGGTATTAGTGTACTTGCCTGACGCCGATGTTGTCGTAGCATGTACGCGGGCACTAAGGTAACCATCGGTGGAGCTATCGAGTCCAAATTTACCAATCGATGTCGGACTTGCCGACGCTGATGCAGTTGCCGCAACGGATGTGGTGGCCGAGACGACTGGCGGTGTATACATCACCAAATCTTCGCTCAATTGCTGATGGTGATGATGGTGGTGATGGTGGTGATGATGATGTGGATGCGGATGCGGGTGCGAATGGGCGTGTACATGGGCGTGTGCATACCAGTGCTCTCTGCTCAAATCTGCTTCGGTATTTACACACGCAATGCATTTGGAGAAGTTTTAGAATTCAAAAGGTTGGAAATACAATAGTTTAAATTTTAATGACATTTTTTAGTTGTAGTAGCTATTTTAATATCGAGCAAATTATTCATTGATAGAGTTCTAATGACTTCAGACGATTTGCGAATCATTAAAGCAGTGTTTCGGTTATGAAACCTACCATTACTGGCGGCCGCCGCTGCTGCTGTGGGAAGTGGCGTTGTAATGGATAGCGTCGGTGCCAAAGACTGCATTTGCACCGACGGCAAAGGAAACGTTAGGCAGCAGGGTGATTTGTACGTGGTGCTGGGCATCTCGACATTTTGATCGGCCTCCATTGGTGAGTGCGCCGATTCGGTGCACTCTTCTTGCTCTGCTCGGTTTGCTGTAATTCTGGTATGATTGTTATTGTTCGAGTGCGAGTACGTGGATTTTGTCATACCGTTAATGCTGGTTGTAATATGTGGGGCGGGCGTAACAGCGGTCGAAGATATCTCATTGCTGACGCTCGCTATTGCATCATTATTCGTTCGTGAATATGCCTCGCTATCGACTGCATCCTCTAATTGCAAATTCTCGAGCATACCAACGTTCGAGGCATAGTTAGTCTGAAATTTAAAAGAAACATAAATAAAAATATTTACAGTTGTAATCATATATGTATGTATAAATGTAGATGGATATGAAAATTCAGCGTGGCTGCTTGTGGCAATCAGGCGTAACAGTGCTACTGAAAGGAAGTTCATAAAATTACAGGCGAAATGGCTCAGATCAATATTGTGTACGGAAAAATAATTGAGGAAGTTGGGCAATCCGCAGCAGGAAATTGTGCTAACTCACTGAGAGTCATGATGAGGAAGTTATTATTTATAAAATAAAGGTAAATACTTGTATATTAATACACACATACATATGTGTGTGTAAAAGCTTTTCCATTCAAATAAAAATATTAAGGACATAAAATTTGAATTTGGAATTGAAGAAGGAGTCTTTACCGCAATTTGAAAATAAAAATTATTGCACAGTTTTAAAGAAAACCTCGTTTTTATACCCTGAACAGGGTATATTAAGTTTGCAACGGAGTTTGTAACACCCAGAAGGAAACGTCGGATACCCTAAAAAATATATATATAAATGATCAGCGGGACGAGATGAGTCCATTTAGCCAAGTCCGACTGTCTATTCGTCTGTATATACGAGAACTAGTCACACAGTTTTTGAGATATTGTTCTGAAATTTTTTACACTTCCTTTTCTCACCAAGAAGCTGCATATTTGTCGGGACCGCAGATATCGGACCACTATAGCATGTAGCTGATATTTAACGGGTCAATCAAACTTAAATCCCTCTATGGAAAAGTTTTTGGTATATATATTTTTTATGCTAAAAAAAATGCACCAGTGAAGGGTTTTATAGCTTCGGTACAGCCGAAGTTAACGTTTTTTCTTCTTTTTTGTATCAGTAGTGCTTTTTATAAAAATGTTATTGGTTATTAAAAAACGAAGTTTCGTTTTAAAATTTTTTTTAATCCCTCAACATGCGTCAGTCAGAACACTATATCTCACGATCCAATTGTATCTTAAAAATGATGTGAGAATTTAAGCCTGTAACATAATCTTAGATAATTTTTTTTTTCATAAGAATCGTTGGCTATTGCGATTTCGGTCGGAATTCGAATTTGAAATTTGAAGGCGATAATAAAGATTCGTATTAAAATAAGCGAAAATTAAGCTTTTTTTGTCAGTCTTGGTCAAATTTTATCCCTGGGTTTATATATTATATTAATGCTAGAAACGTTAAATTTAGTGAGTTCAAAAACAAGTTGGATAATCCGACGACTATATTAAACATTATTTTGCTTGAAAATAATAAAAAAAACCAACCCAGTTACACAGCCCCAATATTATATACTTGTAGTAATCAAGTTAACAGCTACTGAGTTCCACTTATTGTTGGCCAAATGCATTTGTGTAAACATGAGGCATGATGTGGAATTGGATTCGCAATATATCAGCAACAATGGGCAATTAAGTAATGAGATGAACTGAAACAGTTAGACAATACGTCCGACAGTGCGTCACAAGTGTAAAACGACAAGTGCAGACAAAGTCAATGTAGCAAAAGTATCACTTCCATGTCTAAGGTGTCGCACCAGTGGCAAATGCAATTGTGGCAAATTGACAGACCATTTGTGGACTATCCCTGCTGATAGACGAGCACTACTTGCCACCCGTCGCTAAACAAGAGCTTAGACTACCTGCTCTGTGCGATATTTATTACATGTAGATGCATACATATGTACGTAAAGATCTAATTAGGTGTGTTGTTAATTAAATATAAAACGGTGTTAATGCCCTTTGAAGTTTATAAACTTAGAGTTTTTCATGTGAAAGTTATAGAATAATAAAGTTGTCTATATATCTAAGTAGAATTATAAAATTGAATATATATGTTTGACATTTCGATATTAATATAAGTACATTAAATGCAATTCGATCGACATTATAATTTTGATGTCAAAAACTTATCTATATACATACATATTCCTCAAATTTGGGGAAAGCTAAGCCTAATATCCTTCGTAATTAAGTGGGTATTCTAGTCTACATTTCTATTTCATTACATTATAATTTCAGGTAATTATTGAAGTGTCGTAAAAAAGGATATTAATATTTTTACTATCCATTTTTCTAAACCATACTCACAATTTCAACCCTCCTAGCAATTTGAAACAAAAAAATATTAATCTAGAACAATGTCGCAATGTTTGGAACTATGGAGAACTAAAACAAAAGTTTTTCAAGAAATGGCGACTGCCTGAAAAAAAAAAAAAATTTTTGTACCATTTTTTTGACTGTTTCGAAATTTTTTAAAATAGTAAATAGTAATTTTGGGGATATAGTTTGTTCTAGACTTAGACAAGTCTATAAAGAAGAATTTCTAAAAATTTCAGGCAAATCGGTTCAATAGAACCTGAGAAATCGTTGGTATCGTTCTGAAAAAGACAGTTTGGAGAAAAATTCGTTTAATGTTTCAGATTCGGCCAAAATATATGTCTATATAATAAAATCTATTTTTTTCTAGACTAAAATACCCCTTTAAATAAAAACAGTATTTTATTCGTCACTTCTTAGCTCCGCTCTATCGTAAAGTAATATTCCGAAAGGATAATTCTATTTACATTTGATAGTGCCAATTTGATTTATACCAATTCCTTGTTCCATTTATGAGACTATTAAAGTCATGTTTAAATAGTAAGGTCATTATTAGTATTTCTTTGCTGTAATCAAGTATTTATTTTTTCCTGTCTCAATTTGTTTACATCTAAATTTTGGAGAACAAAAACCCGCCGCCATATCGGACGTTGGCAATATTACCTAACTGCACTCCTCTCGTGGCCCCAGCCATTTTACTATGACGTAGCGTAGATAGCGAACCGATCGTTTGCAAAAAAAAAATTATAAAAACAAGAAAGAACTTTAACTTCTCTATATATAGGTATAATATGCTTTACAAGTACAAAATATTCTTTACAAGAACTTTATTCTGATCGTTCAGTTTGTATAGTAGCTATTTGCTATACTGACACGATTTAAACAATTTCTTCGGAGATTGCATTGCTGCCTTAGACAATAACCCATGCCAAATTACGTGAAGATATCAAATGAAAAAGCTTTCCATTTAAGCACTTTATTCCGATCGTTCAGTTGTACGACAGCTATATGCGATATCAGCAATTCCGACAAATGGATCAGCTTCTTGGAGAGAAACCAACGTGTTAAAAATCAGATCGATATCTCAAAAATTGAAGGACTAGTTCGTATATATACAGACGGACAGATCATCATGCTGATCATTTGTGTATATATTTTATAGCGTCTCCGACGTTTCAAGATGTTCTTTACCAAGTAACCCGCAAAGAATGGTGAAGAGATACTTTTTTAAACAACAGAAAGTACGAAAAACTTATTGAAGTGGAAGGTTATTTGGTTGAACTTACTACTTTTTTATTAGAACGATAATCCTTATATTTTTCTCTTTATACAAGTATATATATTTTATTATTAAAGGGTTTGATATGAAGAACGGCCAATAACTTACTACACTTAAATCTTATCGCCTGGTCTTCGAGTTCCCTTAATAAAAAGATACATACATATACCATGTATATATATACGTATAAAGTATGTAGGTATATATAGCATGTCGGTTGGGAGCATATACTGGCACATATGTCGTTTGCAGAATATGTATTTGTATTGCTTTAAGTCAGTTCATCTTTACTGCAGGGTTTATGGTACACACGCCTAACAGCTTTTTGGTTACTGGCACATTTTCTACAGCTCATATTAAGTTGTGATTGTTGGGCGCTCAAATAAGCAACGACAATTGTGCAGTCGTAAAACTGTAAAAACAAAATTTCTTTTGTGGGGCAACGAACGAGAGTTGCATTACCTAGTATATAACTGATGTGCACATGCGTGACACTACACCAAACATATGTATGTATAATGCCCTTAATTAAAGTTCCACGCACTCAAACAATAAAACCCTTTTAACAAATTATTAACTGCTATACCATATGCACACTTTAGTAACATTTATTAAGTACATTATTATAGAGTTTGGAAAAAATCAAACCAAAGCCATGTAACCACGAATAAATAAATATATCTATACAAATATTTCGAATGCTTAATTACTTGAAGTAATATTCCAAAATATACGTCATATTCGCGCAAATAAAATCAGATAACAAATTATATTTTGAAAAATTATATTTGTATTAAAAAAAATGTTAACTTCGGGTGAACCTACATTTAAATGTATGGTATAACAGAATTTGAAAACTTAACCGGCCAACGGTTTGTATCCAACGGAAAAATTTTTGCTAGTTCTTTCTAGCCACGTTTTTTGAAATAAACAACCTTTAGGTCGAAACAAGGTTACTTTAAAAAGTATTTTTTATGATGATCTTTATCTTGATTTTGATCGGCTTGTCTGAATGGCAGCTATTTGCTATATTCATGCACTTCTGAGGAAAAAAAGAACGATTTAAATTTTTAGATCAATATCTCTAAAACTGGCGGACTTGTTCGCTTATATATGGTACAAACAGACAGACGGACATGGCTGAATTGGCTAAGCTCATCACGCTTATCATTTATGTATATACATATATACTTTAAAAGGTCTCCGACCTTTTCTTCTGTGGTTACAAACTTCGTGACAAGCTAAATATACCTTGTTCAGTGTACAAAAATAATAATTGCTGCTTCAATAGACACTGAACTGAATTGATAATCTCCCTTTTGTTAGTTTGGTATGGAGCATTTATATGTTTTAACAAAATACATACGAACATATACAGGTTGGTTGAAAAGTGAGTAATGCTCTCCAAGAACTAGCACTTCTAAAGCTAGCTCCAAATTTATTTTTCTCAAGTTGGTACATCTGACGTAAGAACACATACAAAGTTACAAGTCATTCTGTCAATTAATTCTTTATTTACAAGCCATTTAAAATTGACGTGTCAGAGTATTTTTTTAATGTGAAAAAAATGGAATTTGGAAAGGTTTAAAAGCAAAGGAAATTTATGAACAATTGTTAGAAGTTTATAAGGGTTTAAAGACAATCCACGCGAAGGAAGACCGCAATCACACCAGAAATCATTGAGCAAGTTCATAATATTGTTAGTGAAGATTCAAGTTTGACTAAGCGTGAAATTACTAATGCCATAAGCATCTCAGACGAACGAGTATTTCATATTTTACATGGATAATTTTATAATTATATGAGCTGTTTGGAAAGTTAGTGCCGCACACGTTAACTAAGCATAATAAAACCGATTTCTTGCGTCGTTTTATTACTATGGATGAACCCAGCAGCCTTTTGGATCAGCTGGATGGAAAAATTTTTGAGAAAAGATCTGGTTTGCAGCAAAAAAAATTATTTTTCATCAAAACAATGCACCTGCTCCCAAAGGTGTTTTAACAATGACAAAATTCAACAAATTAAATGTCGGATTGCCTGAGCATCCACCATAGTCACCATATTTGGCTCCCAGCGATTACTGCCTCTTCAGAAACCTGAAACAATTCCTTCGTGGAAAGCCGTAGACGGCTATTTTGCAGAAATTCTGGAAAATCATTATAGGGATGGCATAAAACTATTGGAGGATTATTGGAATAAGTGAATTGAAGTTAAGAGATATTATATTGAATAAAAAATATATTTCGTACCAAAACCAGTATTTTTACATTTCGAGCGCAGAAACTTTTTAACCAACCTGTATATTTTTTTTTTTCAAACTTTAACTCTTCAGTCAAACCTACAGAAATTGTTATGAGCGAAATTTCGTAAATAATTATTTTAGTAAAAGTGGAAAAGTAATGATAGTACACTTTTTCAAGTACATACGGTACAGTAAGGTCAATTATAAACTAGTTTTTGACGGAACTAATTCAAGGTTGCAATAATTCTGAATAAATGTAAAAAATAAGTTGAATTAAAATGGTTAAACAAAATAATAATTATGTTTAGAGCTACCAATGTTAAATGCAATAGAAAATTTTTCAAGTAAGAAAGTCACTGGGATTGTGTATTATTGTTGAGACATTAGAACTTTTGCACACTGAACATTGCTTAAAAATCATCATCCCTCAGCATTCAGGCGCTAATCTAAATCTTCTACTGTTAAAATTTTTAACAGCATTAACCGGAGAGAAAAAAAATCGTTATGGTCGTTCGTTTTTTGGTAAGAGCCAAAAAAGTGCGTAAATACTTAGTATATTTTTCAGCTATTGCAATAAGATAAGGATCAAAGAATTAGCATTCAATTTTGCATGAAAAGATGAGTTAAAATTTTTTAAATTAAAAAAACACTGTTTATATGTTGTATAAGCTCATTCAAGAAGACCGAGAAGATGTCAATGTGAACGCATAAAAGTATATTTAATATATATGTATAAGGTTTTTATAAACATGTATGTATTTCTAAAAATATACAATCATAAATTCAATTTCTTTATGAGAGTGTTGTTTCTGATTTGTTGCGAAACGATACGAATTGCTGATCATTTAGTGCCGCCATATGATTTTATAGAATTTATAAAATACAAATGTACTGAATCAAAATCACACTAATCACAGACTTGTTCACGAGTTTAATCATCTCAAAGTCAACCAAGTACGACGCGACGGCACGCGCTTCTTTGTCACAAACGTGAAAGCAAAAGCCTTTAACACAATAGAAAAAATTATTGTATTTATATATGTATGTATGTAGCCACATAATTATGTACTTATGTAAATAATTTTTCACAGCATTTGAAGTTGTCTAATTTATTATTTTTCGACACGTATTTGTAAGTACAAAATAAATTATCATTATTTCCAAATCTTTTGCTTCTTTAATTGGAATGCAATTCCAAAACCAGTTATTTCAATTAATAAGGTGTCCGTTGCTGTTTGGCCCATATTACGATTTTCTAATCATTACTTCACGAAAATGTATAACTGAGTTTATCAATATTTTATGATTTCGCAACACACATACACTTACATATATGTCATATAGTTTTGGTACAAAATTAAATTACAAAGTTGCTTCACGTGTCGAGATGTCGTCTATTAGACCATGACATAAATATCGGAACTTTCGCTAAGATATAACTACTGTGTAAATATACATATGTATGTATATATTTATAAGTTCGCAGAGCTGCAAATTATGTAATTTAAATACTCCCACGAAATATTTGCAACTCATATATTCAAGCACTTATACCATACATACATATGTACTTGTATATTAGGTTATGCCTACTCATGTGTTTTTAATAAATAATATTAACTAACAAGCAGTAAATGTAAATAAAGCGGGTAAGGTGGTGTCAAAATATGATCGTACGGAATATTCGACATTCTCATCTATTATGGAATATTTAGAGTACATACATATGTATATTCATATTTAGAATACACATATGTATATATCAACAGTTTAGCAACATCGCTGTAATACAATCTGATCATTACTATTATAAAAACTTACCAGCTGCTCACTCTACAAATTTGCAGAAGTGTGTGAGGCTCTTGTTCTCAAACTTTATACTTACATATACATATCTATGTACATATGTAAAATCCATGTTCCATCAATACTCTTTAGATTTGTTTGAGTTTCATAAATTTCCCTTGAAACATATGACAAATCATTCGAAATATTATTAGTATTAAATTAATAGACGTGGTTGTTTCCGATTTTGGGACTTTTAACTCTTTGAATACTCCGAGCATTCTATATATTCGATTCTCAAATAATATCTCAACAAGCATGGGTATAAAAGCTTAATTCAAAATTTTATTTTTATTTATTTTTTGCAACACCAACATTTTCATACATAAATTATGAACTTTCGTTAACATCATTATTCAAGTGTGCAGACTCACTGCGAAAAGCAACCAGTATATACATATGTACATACTTGTGAAAACATACACAGATAGTTACATGCGTTAGCACCTTCCGCACGTCATCCTAAAATTTGGTTAGAAATATATTGTGTATGTTTTATGAAAATACATAAAATGATGTAGATATGTATATGTATGTATGATACATACACATGTATGTATATGCATACTTATCTCTTTAGTCGCACGATCGTTTGTTGTGGGTGTTGGTAGTGTGGAGTGCTATGGAGGTTGTGTGTGAAAATCGAAATAAAACAAAATGAAAAAACTTTCGTACAATCACCGATTCACTAACGGTTCCGTTGGATTCACCAGTTTTTCTTTCCATTGAAATTTAGTATGTACATAAGTAGGTAAGTGTAACTGTTGTAGCACTAAATAATGTCAGAAGGGGTGTATCAGGGTTATATGCCACTATTTTGATACCCTGAACAGATTATATTAATTTTGTCACGAAGTTGGTAACAATTGGTAGAAGGAAATGTCGAAGACCCTATAAAGTATATATTAATATATAAATGAACGACGTGCCCAGCTAAGTTGATTTAACGATGTCCTTCTGTGCGTATGTACGCGAACCTGAAAATTTGCTCACGCCCTTCTCTCCTCAAGAAGCTGTTCATTTGTTGGACCCGTAATATCGGATAACTATAGGATATAGCTGTCGTACAAACGGATCGATCAAACCCAAGTCCTGACAAGATATCCTTTTGAAATTTGGCATTTATTATTTCTTAAGGCAACGCTACAATCACCGAATCGAAGTTAACTTTTTTTCTTGGTTCTCATGAAATTATTTATTTAATGAAATAATAAATTTACGTGTTTAATTTAATGTTATATACTTTAATACTAGAGAGTTAAGATTTGAGCATATAATGGTGACTTCTTTAAGAATTTAGTGATTTCAAGTTTATGTTCTGACATCTTGCACTAGCATAGGTTTGTTCGTGCAAAAAAGTTTCCTTTCATATTTGAATTACGATCGGGAATTTTACATTGTTGATATGTAGATTTTTTGTGCAAAAATTTATTATTTTCACTCGCCTATTGTTAATAAGTATATGTTTAGTAAGTTCCCCTCTTTTGTGGATTTTCGTAAAACGCCACTGAACTTGAATACAACTATATCTGAACGTTTATTCATGTACATAAGTACATATGCATTAAGTAAATGAAACTTACAATGGCTATTTGTTGTGGAAAACACTTTCACTGAAGACGAAGGTGCTGGTACAAAAACAACAACAACAATGTTGGAAGTGGCGACAATGAGGCAGTGCCATGGGTTTAAGTTATAGAAATCTTCATTTGGGCATGACCCATACATCCATACAATATGTATATGTATGTACTTACTATATGTACTAAGTACTTGGTAGGTTATGGTTCCAGTTGCGCTTGCGTTCACGCCGTAATACAAGAAGCACAATATCTTTAAACTTCTTCGGTACTCAGTTGAGGCTTCACAATTCAACTTGCCACTTTTAATACCATTTTCAACAGTGCAACAGAGGAGAACGGAACGGTCTTGCCTAAATTTATGCTGTATTTCACGGATTCGGGAAAGTCACGAAAACAAAGACTTTTTGTTATATTTAATATTAAAATAGCATTAATTTCACAAGCCAGAAAGTCCAGGTGTGCATAACGAAAGACATCCGCATTCTAAAATGAAAGCCAAAAAGAAGCACCCTGTGCCATTTTTAAAAGCAGTATTTTTATTCTTTTATGTGATCCTACTCAGCAAATCCGAAGGTATTTGATATAAACAAAATTGTGTTCAAATTGTGCGTTTCAGTGAAATGCTTAAGACCTTTAAGTCAAGTGATCAAGTTAAAAATTAAATCAAATTCCAAAGTATGGTTTTGGTATTGATATTAAATTGAATTTGTTAAATTGGTGTTTGCTGATTCTAACAGTGTGTGTAACAAAACTAATGATATACTCAATAAATTAAAGTGTAAAAATGTATCACAATCTCCTGTATAAAACATTTTAGATAGACTTAACTTGCTTTGAGATTATCTTTTAAAACTTTACAAATTGAGAACTTTAACGAACACTGTATGCTTGCTAAGAAACTACAGATCAAAATGGGATACATAAATGAATATAAAGCATTTATATCTGAGAAATATATAACAGATCGGTTATACAATTATATAAAATCGGTAAAACACTTCATAAATTATTTCGCGGTTTGTGATTTTTTCTGACTCTAAAGGGGTTTTATAGTGAAGTGTAAAATAGGAAAAATATATAAATATAAAATATTTACTTGAAAGTCTTATATATTGTAGATTAAGAGCTCATTTTTTATTTTGCTTGATAACATGAGCTCCTACAGTCACTGTGACCCGTAGAGGTCCTCTTGAAAACGGTGATCCCGAAGATTGGGACAGTAGCCGTCATTTTGTATAAAAATTTCAATATACACATTATTCATACACTCAAAAACTGTTTAATAAAGCCTGAAAAGGAAATTGAATATTAGGTTAGTTTTGCTCTGTATTGGCCTAACCCTTTAAGGAGGTTGAGTATTCATTCAATTCGGTTTGAGCGGAAGACGAAATCTCAAACCCATTTTTCTCGAAACTACCTTTTTCTATAGGGTTATCACGCTATATCATGTTCTAATCAGTCGATTTACTAGAAATTTTGCCTAAATAATTTTTTAAATATCTCATATATGATATTTCTTACCATAAAGCCATTGGTAATCAGCAATAACCCGCCATTGTTTTATTTATTTTATGTATCCTTGGGATATGAATAAACAAATGGTAAAACATTCAATTGTTATTTATTAATTGTCTAAAAACGCCCGCAATTCGGGCCTTTGGACTAGAATACCCCCGTAAGGTAATTTTGTCTGAAAGTTGGACTCAAACTTACATACATACATTTTTTGCATTCTTGAATACTCTTGAACTTAATTACAATTTTTACATACGTACTATCTTTTTAAAAATATTCTTTGTATTGAATAATCAAGTAACGGTTTTAAAATACTTGTAATTTTAGATAACATTGGTGTTGGTTGTATAATATTGATAATGCCTTGAACATGTAGTGTACGAATAGTAAAATCAATTAATCATAGAATGCAATTTCGTTCAATTTATTAAATAATTATGGAAAAAATTTAAAACATGTATTATATATTTGCCAAATCTTTATCTCTTTCAGACGTTATTGCACAACCCTACAAACAACAACGCTGTTCGAGTCGCTTAGAAAACGCCTTAGAGCATATGCGTCGACGTAGTATACCAGCGAAAAGTTCCAGATCATTTTCTGGTGAAACACCATACACACTCTATCAAACATTCTATGGTCAAAATAGTGAACCAGAAGATGATTTTTATTCTGGTGGCGATCGAGGCTATTATGCAAAGAATATTCAACGTCAACCTCAAACCGAGACACCGGCATACATGGGAAGATTAAATAATTTATTCTCCTCAGACTATACACAAAATCGACGACAACCACATAAATTAGCTGCTGTCTCCAGCGTTGATGTTGAGGATTTGAGAGTGCGTCTGCCGTCGAAATCCACTAGTCCGCGCTGGGTTGAGGTCGATAAATGCAGATTCAGTACACAAAACTCAACGTTGGACACGCGTCTCATATTCCCCGATTTAACAATTAGTGGCAAAGTAGTACTGCAACCAACTGGTGGCAAATGTCACATGATTTTACGCTTACGTCGTGCTGGTATAGAATTTCGTACCATTCCAATTGGTTTTGAAAGTGCTGTAAATGAGGAATCCCGTCGAATCGGTGCCGCTTCGGTGCGAACGGATTCCCATTTTGCTGAGCCTGGATTTATATCCGTTTTTGCACACGGTTGTCAGGGACCCTCGGCTGTGAGATTGCGGCAAAATTCCAAACGTCGATTTGGTTTTGAAAGTGAAACAGCCACTCAGGGAACAGTAAAACCCCCAGCAGTCGAACTCTCAGATCCTCATGTCGTTTTGGGTACTGCAGCTACGCAAACACAAACATCTGGAAACCGTTGGCGTAAATATTACAATCCCTATGCGTATGATATACGAAGTGAGAAGTATCAAAAAACGAATGGCCGGAATCATGACCGTCACTGGCGCGTAAATGAAGATTCTAATGAAAATATATTTTACGATGGACGTGATAGTGAGAATTTGGATCGTGCGCAGTTTCGCGAAAAACGCGACAGTAATACATTTCGACATGAAATGAGTAAACCGACATGGAGCGATGAGTTCAGTTTCGATGACGATATACTCAACATATCCGATGACTTGCAAGACCTAATAGCTCCAGATGCTAGAGCTTTTGCAGATCTTTTCAGCGACTTAAGGGGAGACAGCGATGACTTCGAGCGGGAAAATGTGCGCGATCGCGATGAGGCGGGAGACGCTTTCTCAAGTGAATTGGAGAAGATTTTTTCAATGGGTGTACGGGGCTTACTAACTACATATATGCAACGCGCTCTTCAACCGGCTATTAAGGAAACATTAATGGAAAATATGGGTTACACCTTGAGTTATGGCTGATTGGGGAAATCTGAGGAGTAGAAATGTATTTTAACATTGCTATGGTTATTAGTTTATACTTAATTGATACGGTTTTAGAAAAAATAATTATTTATATAAATTTTGAAATCGTAAGCGGTAATTTATTTTATAATATACAAGGTCAACACGTTATAAATGTTCTCATAGTTTGTAACCATATTTAATAATATGATAAACATTTTCTCTTAATTTGGAATAATTAATTAATTATTTCATAAATGGCTGGCTATGAATGGAAGGGTGCTAAATCTAATTTTTTTAGAAATATGATATATTTTTAATAGGAAAAAATAAAATGTAGGTAAATCCTCTTTTAATAAAACAATTGAGAATCTTTTTTATCTTCCATATTTCGATTTCTTAGAGAAATTAGATATTTTTTTTTTTACTTTTAGACTTATTACCTTTGCACTCTTAGCTGGCAAAATATACATGTTGCTAACAAAACGTTGATACGTAAATTTATGCATGTAGATCAAGTTTAAATACGATAAGAATTTTTTGTTTAAAATGTAAGCTTTATTAAAAATCTATGTATTTGTATGTTTACCTAAAATATTTATTAAAAATTTTAGTTCTTTCATAAGGAAATTTGTATTTAGTATCATGAAATTTTTGCAATAAAGATTAAACACAGTAAAGTGTCCGTTGATAATGAAAGTAATTTCAAAAATTTTGTAATGGTAATGGTAAGAGAGCGGGACTGAGTAGGGCCGAACCCAAGAATAGCATTGTTTTCTTAGTTGTTCAATACTTTCTAGGGGTCGATGGAACTTTTTACTGGTGCAATATAGTAGTTTATCTATAAAATGAGCGAAATTTTGGATCTATTCTGTTCATATTTTTTTTTACCATTACGTCATAATTGTTGCCTGTTATTGTTGCCTCACAAGTAATGTTTTCGTCAGCACTTTATCTTGGCTCTTGGGGATTTAAAAAAGCGTACGTTTTTTTTCAGGAGTATAAAAAAAAATTTTACTCTTATACTTTCATAATATATAAAAAAATTAAATTCATTATAAATAAAAAATAAATTTGTATAGTTTTTCATCATGCATTTTTCTCTATGTGCAATTTCAAATATCGTACCAAATTTATAAAAATATTTTGTTAGATTTATTATAAAAATAATTGTAAAACGGTCAAAGGTTGTCCTTTTTTGTTGGAAAATCGGATCGGAAGTTGTTACGCATTAATTCTAATGAATTAATTTTTTATTAATGTGTTTATGTATGTATTATGTACAATATTTAATTTTTACGTTAATTTCTTACCAATTTATGAGTATCCATTAGATTCCTTTACGATCATTTAATTTATCCGTTTAATGGTATAATTAACAGTTTTTCTCTTATTTCTTTTTACATTTCACTATATGTTGAATAATTCGATATTTGAATTTATGCTCACTTTAAGAATACATATAAAATAAAAAGTAGTGTAATCAACATTAAATTAGCTAATAGTTTATATATAATATATTGAGCGCACTTTACAGATTTCTTAGAGACGCATTTATGCTACACTTTTAAAACTCGTACCGTTACTGCTTGAAAAGATGGAAAAGGATTTGGAATTGAGCTCATCTATGTATAAGCATCACATCTTATATTGGCAGAGGCGGAGCTTGATGTTGATAATTTCTATGGCGCATGCTTGTAACGGCCTTATTTGACTTCTTATTGGTCACAGATTAAGGTCCTTTAAGCAATTATATATATACATATGCATACATATACTATGAATATAAGTACATAGGTATGTGTTGTATGTAAGTACAGGTAAGTGCATAAACTTTTTATATTCAAATGATTATATGTATGTGGAAATACATATGAATCTGCGTATATGGTATATAAAGTATATATGAAAATTTGTACAAATATGGCTCCAAAAATGCTGCTCCTACTGATGTATGTATATGTGTGTGCAAAATCGTTGAACTAAGTATGTAATCCGAAATGTAAATTTTAAAAAATTAATACACACACATAAGTGAAATTCAACAATTTTTTAATTATTCTCATATGGATATGTTTTGTTTTAACATGTAGCTATAATTAACTTGAATCGAATCGAAATAATACCTGTTAGCTGTAAGTTGTGAAATGCTGTTATATATTAATATACCGGTGTTTGCTAAAATCATAATGAGGAAATCAAGTAAAAACTTACACTGTAGATATAATTTAATGTGCAATGATCCCATTTATTAAAAAAAAAAATATTTTTTATTTGAATTATTTAACGCAAAATATAATTTGGTATGTTTTGTTTTTATTTAAACAAATTTTATTAACATATTGTTGCACTCTTTTAGTTTGTTATGTAAACACATTCTTTTCCTAATGGGTACAATTCCGAAATCCTCTCCTTTGCAAACTACCCATTTTCAAACTTAGACAGGTACACTGACAACTTCGTTGACGTTTGTAATTGTCATTTTAGTGATTGTGTTTTGCTTATCAGCAAGAATTTTTATTATTGACGTGTGGTAGTTTAGTACAATTTTTTCTCAACAATAATCCATTGGCAATGATTATTTAACTTGTGAACTCATTAAATAGAGTTCGGCTTTTAAAGTGTAAGTTTCTGAAATTCAAATTATAAGTGCTTTACAAGCGTTCGTATGTTTTATATCAATAAACAAAAATTGCAATTTTCGCAAGTCAGTGATGTATTTCATTATACTCAACGTTAAATACTTATGTTGGTCAAGATGGGATGTTTACAATAGTGTGTCATACGGTGGACAATCGTGGTTGTTATATAACTAGTGCTTAATAATGTTTCCTTTAAGGATATAAATCCTTTAAGTATTTAAGACAAGACAATGAATCTTTTTTAATTGTTTGGCTTTATACACAATGGTATGTTAAATATATACATATAAAAGTTTTAAGTATTGACCCTGAACAAACATCATGGTCAATGACATTAGCAAAGAAAATAAATATTAAATAATATATACGTTTGGATTTAATTTTGCTTTTGCAGCACGAAATGAGTTGTACTTAGCTTTTACTTGCTGGAACATCGGAGCGTACAGCTTTCTTAGGACTGTCAAAATTTATCACCATCATTGCATCACAAATCTGAATGTACGGGCTTTCTACAAAAAATACTTTTGTCAGAATCAACTTCACCGCAGCCGCTGCCAACTCTTTTGGTCTCCACCTTATTAAGAGCTAACATCATGAATCGCATTTCAGTTGCAAGTGGAGCTGTTACCGGTTCTGGTAGTTCCGTAGATGCCACCCCATACATACGTACCATTGAATGGGACATGATGAACAAAACGAAATTTTTTCCACTTTCTATGCTGAGTTCGTTTTCTGTGCGGTGTTGCCTATTCCCATTGACCGTCATAAAAACACAATTACAAGTGCAATATAAAAGTGATGTGTATAAAGGCATGATTGACTGTGCAATAAAAATATATCGATCAGAAGGTGTTCCCGGTCTATATCGTGGTTTTTGGATATCATCAGTGCAAATTGTGTCAGGGGTATTCTATATAAGTACATATGAGGGTGTACGACACCTACTAAATGAAATAGGTGCGGGTCACCGTTCCAAAGCACTAGTTGCGGGTGGTTGTGCTTCACTCGTTGGCCAAACTATTGTGGTGCCATTTGATGTAATATCACAACATGCTATGGTATTGGGTATGGCAGCACATGCAGGTCCTAGAGCGGATCTCAACCCACTTGGCATAAAAACCGGACCTGGTCGCAGTCGATTTGCATTGTCAATGGATATATCACGTGAAATATTGAAACGTGATGGTTTTCGTGGTTTCTATCGTGGCTATACAGCAAGTTTAATGGCATATGTACCCAATTCTGCAATGTGGTGGGCTTTTTATCACTTGTATCAAGGTAAGAAATGCGATAAAATAAATAGAATTTAAATATGTATTCAATGTTTTCAAATTTTAGATGAACTGTGTCGAATATGTCCTCCTTGGGTGTCACATCTCTTCATTCAATGCGTTGCAGGTAGTTTAGGTGGATTTACTACTACCATAATCACAAATCCGCTTGATATAGTCAGAGCTCGCCTTCAAGTAAGTAAACCATTGAATTTCAGTTCCGTCCACTTAACTGAAAATTAACTGTTATTCTTTAAGGTGCAAAGACTGGAATCAATGCGTGTTGCATTTCAAGAGTTGTGGCGAGAAGAGCATCTACACTGTTTCTTTAAAGGTTTGTCCGCACGACTAGTACAGTCTGCGGCATTTTCATTTAGCATAATTTTAGGCTACGAGACAATAAAACGAATAGCAGTTGAAGAGCAATACAAACAGCAAATACGTTGGTAAATTCTTAGTTATTATAGAGCTATGAATATGCACAACTATGTAACCACCAAGTGTTAAATGTATACAAACTCACATGAAATCATCAGAATCACATCCCAATCAAATAAATACCGTACATAAGCATGCCAAAGATATTACTTTTTCTAAATAGTAATCGAATTTGCCTCATGTATTTGTGTATCAATTTATATTGTCATATTTGCTAGCCTCTCTTATCGACATACATATTTATTATGGAAATTGATAACAATAAACATGTGTGAATGTATTATCTTGTGGTGTACACATCCTTCTTCAGGGGCTAAATAGAATTATTATAAATTATGCTGTAAATACTGGAACATTAATAAATTAATTTTATGATTAAAGCTAGCAAATGTTTAACAGAAATTTGTTGTAATTATTGCAAAATATGCGCAAACTAAATAGTAATAAAAGTAGAGATTTTGTAATAAGCCATTGTTGGTATTTTAGTTTTAATGAAGTTTAGCTAATTTATTGAGCAATGTTTTCAAAGTAAACTTTTTACTTGTTTAACATTAATTATTATTAATTCGAAAGATTGGAACGAATTGCTTATTAACATAATTTTGTGTAATCTTTTGGTAGTAATAAAAATTATTATAAATGTTATCAATGTGGAATAGTTCTGTATGTGTTTTAGAAATATAAGTGCAACTATAACAAACATAAATATTGCAATTTAGTCGAGAATATGCAAACAAGCAAAACAAGAAAAGTTCTGGTCAGGTAGTAATAAAAACAATAACAAAAAATCCAAAAACAATAAAATATGTATACATTATTCTTAATAATTTTGAATGAAATTAAATGTGAGTATTTATTTTCTGTTATTTGGGAATTTATATGCATACACGTTGGAATGATTAGTATTTTTAAATGCGAACTGCAACTGATGTTAGCAGAAAAAATTAAAAACTTCAAGCCACTCAAATACACTTAAATTCGGAAGTATAGCCTGATAGACTAAACATTTTTCGTTGAACTGCAAAATGTACTGACGTGTCGCAAAAACTCGGAGCCCGGGGAGGATGTAGGATGATGCGGGCGCCCTGATTCATCAATTTATTGATATTAAAATATATGTACCATATGTATTTTTTATGATGTTACATGTGCTCGATACTTATATGATAATCTCTCCTTCAGTGCTCTACATTATTTTTTCTTAAATAGTTAAATAGTCAAAAACTAAAAAAAAAAATT